CCCCCCCCCCCCCCCCCCCCCCGGGCCCCATCTGCTCACGAAATCAAAAATTCTCAGTGATTACACGCACCGCCCACCATCAACCTCGACAGCATTCCCCGTGAGGAAACTCGCCTCATCACTGGCCAAAAACGCGCACGTGTTGGCCACGTCGCTCGGCTTGGTGCCGCGGCCTAACGGCACCGTCGACATGAAGACCTTTTCGTTCTCGGGCTTGCCGAGGAAGAGGTCCGTTCTGTTTCAACGACTGTCAGCCAGGCGGAGCCCTAGGAGATCCCTTGCAGGGACAGAGATGGGAGAAGATGGGAGGAAGACTGAAAGGGGAGATGGGAAAGGAGAAAAAAACGTACAGTCCAGTCCCCATGCCAACAACGGGACACACGCTCAGCATGCGGATGTTGTCCTTGGCGTACTCGACGGCGAGGCACTTGGTGGCGTTGATGACGGCGGCTTTGGAGGCGTTGTACCCTAGAAGAGAAAGGGTTGCGAGTGTCAGTGCGGGCTGGTGGTGGAGGGAGGGCGAGGTTGATAGGGGCAGGTGTCTCCAGTGCAGCCTCGTGGTGCGTGGGCCGCCACAAGATGTGCATGGGCACATGGGGAAATCGCTTGCGCGCGCGGGTGCGTGACGATGCTGACACGGAACATCAGGCGGACTGCGGCCGCGTGGGGCCTGCCAACGCTCAACGCGAGTTTGACTCAACCGGCCGCGCACCACTTGATTCTCCCAGAGCAGCTCTCGCAGGCGAATAAAGAAGATCGACCAGGAGCAAAGGACAAAAACTCACAAATCAGCCCCGGCCTAGGCCGAATCCCCGCCGTGCTCGCAATGTTGACAAACACGCCCCCGTTCCCCTGCTTCTGCATCTGCGGCACGATCTTCTGCACACTGAAGAAAATACTCTTGACATTGACGTTCATGACCATGTCATACTCCTTCTCCGTAGTATCACCATTACTCTGATTCCGATACGTGGTGCCCGCATTGTTGATGACGATGTCGATCTTGCCGTAGGCGTCGAGGGTCTTCTTCAGGCAGGCCTCCCACTGGTCGCCCTTGGTGACGTCGGTGAGGTGGAACTCGCAGCCGAGGTCTTTGGCGGTTTTGCCGCCGACGGCTTCGACGAAGTCGGCGATGACCACTTTGGCGCCCTCGGCGAGGAATTTCTCGACGATGCCTTTGCCGAAGCCTTGGCCTGGGGGTCCGGGTGAGGCGGTTAGTATTGGGGTGGTGGTGTTGGGACAGAGGGAGAGAGGGAGGGAGGGAGGGAGGGAGTAAAGAGGGGAGGATTGGCTGAGGTTGCCGGGTTGGTTGAAGAGGGAAAGAAGCGTACCTCCGCCGGTGATGATGGCGACCTTGCCGTCGAGTCTGCCCATGTTTGTTAACTTCTGGTGGTGGTTTTAATGGGTGGTGAGGGTGCTTGGATTGCTGTCTCTCTTGGTCTGGTTGGCCTCGCTTCGAGTGCTTACGGGGTTCATCTACATCAAGGAGGGGTCATGCAACATATAGTTCTGTCGTGCCTCGAGTCTGACTCTGCGGAGGCATGCTCGTGGTGCGGGGGATCTTCTCCATGGCGGTAGCCGAGGGTCTGCATGAACGCGTCCTGTTGGCTCTGTTCGAGTCGATCAGCGATGACGCAGCACCTTTTCACTGCCTGCATTGGGCCAATCAGAGAGGTCACGGCCAGAGATGAATAGTCCAGTGCGGAATGCGTGGTGCATTGCTACATAACTGTATGCATCGCGCAGTATGTGCCTGTGTCTAGTTGAAGTTGTTGTTGCCGCTGAGAAACGGCTCAAAGTACGAGGTCATCTCTCTGGCACTTTCCACGCCTAGACCGAGGTCGAATTCATTCAACATGCCATCCCAATCGGACTGCGACATGGGGAAGTCCGGCATCGATTGGTAGTGCATCGCATAGGGATCTGCCATTTGGGGCGAAGGCTGACTGCTATCGTCCTTGATGGGCGTACTGCCCAGATCTTGAGCCAGTAGAGTCTCGGCGATCTTGGTGAAGTTCGAGCAAGCGTTGCGTAGTTTCAAGCATGCCGACGACTTCAGTGCGGCCCCATCTAGTACCGACACCACATCTCGGAGCAAAGCCAGGTCTCCGTGGTTGCGCTGTGCAATTGTATTTCCGAATATCACGATGATGGGCACAAATGGCACAAAGAGCAGTGTGCAGTTGATGAAGAGGACCCAGTTCTCGGGCGGCTCCTCTTTGACGATGTTCCACGCTTCGAACAGGAGCGCCAGAGCCTTGCGCGAGCTGTGAACCGCCTCATCGCAGGATTGCAACGGATGCGCAGGTTGTTTGGGAGGTATGACACGATACACGATGGCGAGAAGGCACTCGATGAACATCTCCGACGTTAGAACCGAGAACTTGGCTTGCTCTAGCCAGGGTATGTCTTTGACATTGGCGATCTGTACATGTTAGCGAGTGGCACAGCAACCAGTAAAGTGAACTTTCCTCCTTGAATGGGCCACGGAGCACCTCGAGCTTCTGTACAAATGTCCTGGCTCGCTCCGAACGGACTTCGACTGGCTGCCGTTGGGCCGATACTGAGAAGAGTTGTTCATATATGTCGCCCTGCAAAACGGCAAATTCTACCATGGCCAAGAACATTGTGCCCCAGGACTTATCATCCAGGTCACCGCCGAGATCAGCTGGCCAGCTTGGTCGGTCGACAGTGATGTCGTAATCATGAACGTTTGGGGTCCGGCCAAAGTTGAAAGCCAAGCCTTTGTCCATGGTGTAGACGTACCAGAACGTGAGTCGTTTTCGACGGCCGTCATTGTCATCTCCGCTGGGCAACCGATGAAGACCAAGGTCGAGGCACATCCGAGCCGCAGTGCAGGTCAGCCTCCATGCAGAGGAAGCCTGACCATATTCCATGGCCAGAGACGCGCCAATAATGATGGACTGGCACGCTTCGAGTGAAGGCTCGACACAGAGTCGGAGAGAATGGACTGCCGTGTCGACGTTTTTCCGACAGAGCTGCTGGTGAGCATTCAGTTCTGCTCTGGTGATGCCGAGATGCTCGGGCAGCTTGTTATCGACATCGCGGAACAGGTTGAAAAGTCCCCCATTGACTATGATCCAAGTGTAGATGGAGTACTCTTCCATTGGAAAGTAGACTTTTTGGCAGACGCGGGCAAAATCGTCATAACGCATAATCTGATGCTCGATGAGCCAGCGCTGCACAGTCATCCTTGCGATCTTCAAGAGCTTAAGCACAAGAGACATGGGTGGGAGTATGAGACCGGCGAGTTCTGGGTACTGAGAAAAGGGCTGCTGGCTGGGCGAGTCCTGAGGGGGGGACTTAGCACTCGCCGCTGCCACATCTTGCAGAAGCTTCTGCACCACGGTTTGATCAATGCTTGAAGCGCTCCCTCGATCAGAGTCGCTCGGAGAGGCGGACGCGAGAGCTACACCCAGGGACTCCGTGATCTGGCGGGATTGTGCGATGAAAGATAGGTCGCCTTCGTAGGGAAGCTCGACTTCTTGTTCCTGACTGCTGATGACTCCCTCTGGCAGCTGATGGGGCGGTTCGGACGGTGGCTTTTGGTTCACGTTGGCGCTGGAGTTCATGGCAAGGATGTTTTGCAGAGCTGCCGAGAGGTCCTCGAGCTTGCGGTTGACACTGGCGATACCCTCATCGTATTTGCTTGAGAGCAATACGCGTTGCTTCTTCTCGGGGGCGCGCTTGGTGGTACGACAGGGTATTTGGGACGCAATACAGCTGTTGCATGGCGTCTTCCGGTCGCACTTGATCTGTAGGGGCCGTCAGTACTTACGAGCGCGTTCCCGAAGGTGTAGAGATGTACTTTACGGCTCCTACAGGTATCACACTGTGTGAGGTAAGTAGATGGCAGTAAGTACTAGGGATACGAATCGGGTATAGCGTGGTCCAACACGTACTGCCGGCACTCTCAACACAACATCGCCTTCATGATCGGACATTGCTTCCAACTGCCTCTTGTCAGTTCTGATCGGTGTTTCGGGACGAATTCATCCAATGCAGCTCGGATGCGAATGATGATGGGGAGACAACCGTGCCTGGACGCTGGCGAGAAATGGGACGACTCTGTCGGCACCCGCGGGCCCCGGAGCGAAACAGACGAACCCACCAATCGGACCAGACGATACACGAGACCACGAGTTTTCGGGGATTCGAAATGTCGAGAGAGATTTCCCAGAAGTCGTTTGGCGGAGCGGGGTTAGTGTCGCCTTGATTGACGCCAATTCGCGTTGATGATCCTATCAAAGGGCTGCTTTTTCTTCGGCATGAAGCCGAATGACTCCAACCCGCCAAGATGGGCCCAAGGCGTGAGGTCGCGTAGCTTTCGGGCTTTTTATACGTGCACGATACGAAGCCGCTTGGATGATTGTTGCCTGCAATGACAAGAAGACATCACCGATCCATCTCTGCCATCTTCCCATCTTTATATCTATCAACCATGGCCTCTATTGATGTCCTAGAGCTGGTCTCAGAGTAAACCCACCCAGCATGGCTCACACGCCACAAAAAGTCGATGACGCTACTACCCCAGATTCCGAGAACAAGGTCAGGGACACTCGCGACCATGTCAACGAAAAGCAAGATGATGCCAGCGACGGCAGCTCGAAAGATGGTGAGGAGAAGGAGCCTTCTGGCGGCATTGGGCACTATGTCAGAATCTTTCGTTACGCCGATGCCCTGTCCAAGACCCTCTTTGTTGTCGCCATCGTCGGTTCGATAGCCTCAGGCGCAGCCTTGCCATTGATGTCCCTCATCTTTGGCCAATTTACCAACCAGTTTAGCGACTTCTCGATCGGACAAGCGAACCGCGAAAACTTCCAAAACTCGGTCGACGACCTAGTTCTGTGGTTCGTGTACCTCTTCATCGCTCGGTTTGTCATCGTCTATGCTGCCAACGTCGCCATCAGCACCGCTGCCATACGAACAACTGCGGCTATCAGAAGGGCCTTTCTGGAGGCTACCCTACGGCAAGAAGTGTGGCATTTTGACAAAGCGTCCAATGGCTCCGCAGCTACCCAGGTCACCACCAACGGCAATCGCATCAACCAGGGTCTAGCAGACAAGCTGGCCTACATAGCGCAAGGGCTTGGCCTCTTCTTCTCGAGCTTCATCATCGCTCTGGCCGTTCAATGGAAGCTTTCACTCATCATCATGTCAATTGTCCCCGCCATCTTCCTGGTGACAGGAGGCTGCATCGCAGTCGATGCTATTCAAGAGGCTCGCATCGTCAGAATTTACTCCAGGGCTGCCGTGATGGCTCAAGAGGCCATCAGTTCCGTCAAGACTGTTCACGCCTTCTGGGCTCAAGAAAAGATCGCTGCCAAATATGACGTCTTTCTGCAAGATGCATGGAAAGAGGGCAAGAAGAAGAGTCCCAATTATGGAATCCTCTTCTCCACCGAGTACTTCCTCGTCCTAGCTGGTACTGCCTTGGCCTTCTGGCAGGGCTTCCGCATGTTTCAAAGCGGTGAGATTGGCAGCGTGGGTACAGTTTTCACCGTGGTCCTGTCTGTCACGCTCGGTGCCACCGCCATGTCCCTTGTAGCTCCTCAGATCCAAAGCATTACCAATGCTTCATCCGCTGCAGCAGAATTGTTCTCCATCATTGACAAGAAATCCGAGTTGGATCCCCTGTCGATCGAAGGCAAGCAGCCGCCCACATGCCACGGCGAGATCCATGTACGCAACCTATGCTTTGCATACCCCTCGCGGCCTCAAGCCCAGGTTCTACACTCGCTTGATCTGTCGATTCCGGCTGGCAAGACCACTGCTCTGGTCGGTGCAAGTGGTTGCGGCAAGAGCACGCTCGTCGGCCTCCTCGAGCGTTGGTACGTTCCCACTAGTGGTGAGATCTTACTGGATGGTGTCGATATTAGCCAGTACAACACACATTGGTTGCGCAAACAGATCAGACTTGTCCAGCAGGAACCAGTCCTCTTCCGTGGTACCGTATTTGAGAACGTTGCCAAAGGTTTCGTGGGTTCTCAACTCGAACTGTCTCAGGATGAGCAGGTGAAGCTGGTTGAGGAGGCCTGCAAGTCCGCCAATGCTCACGACTTCATTGTCGATCTTCCCAATGGCTACCATACCCAGGTTGGCGAGCGTGCATCGATGCTGAGTGGCGGTCAAAAACAACGCGTGGCAATCGCGCGCAGCATTATATCTGACCCTCGGATCCTTCTATTGGACGAGGCCACGAGTGCGCTGGATCCCCGGGCAGAAAAGGTGGTTCAGGACGCACTGAATCGTGTGTCAATCAACAAGACAACCCTCATCATTGCACACAAGCTTGCTACTGTCAAGAAAGCTGATAACATTGTCGTCATGAGCTACGGCAAAGTCATCGAGCAAGGCACGCATAACGAGCTGATCGATCGAGACGGTCAATATGCGTCACTTGTCAGAGCACAGGATCTGGGTGGGGATCAGGGCGAAGCTGACTTCACCAAGGAGCAGGAAGATTCTGCTCTGGAACGACGTGCAACTCTCCAGCGCACTAAATCAGAAGCCCGCTCTGTCGCCGATGACGCCGAAGCTCAGAATCTTGCCAAGGGTACACTTGACTTGTCGCTTCTCAGGTGTATCTGGATCATGTTCTATGAGCAGAAAGACCTATATTGGTGGTTCCTCCTGTCCATGACAGGCTCTGTCATCGGCGGTGGCACGTTCCCTGCTCAAGCGCTTTTGTTCTCCAGGCTCATCAACGTCTTTACCCTGCAAGGCCAGGAGGCAAGCAACCAGGCGAACTTTTATTCTCTCATGTTCTTCATTGTCGCGCTAGCGAACTTGTTCGCCTACTTCGCCATCGGCTGGGCGTGTAATCACATCGGGCAAACTGTCACCAAAAGATACAGGCTCGAGATGTTCCATCGCATCCTGAACCTAGATGCGGATTTCTTCGATCGACCGGAGAATAGTTCGGGATCGTTGACGTCGAAACTCTCCTCGCTTCCCACAGCTCTGCAGGAGTTGATCTCTGCAAACATCATGCTCATGTTCATTGTCATCGTCAATCTAGTCTCGTCGTCGGCACTTGCCATCGCCTTCGGCTGGAAGGTTAGTTATGACCTATCTTCTCCTGAGTTCTTCTCTATGATTCACATGCTGACCACCGCAAAGTTGGGTCTTGTCGTTGTCTTCGGCGGACTTCCACTTCTCGTCAGCGCAGGCTTTGTCCGTATCCGCCTCGAACAGAAGAACGAGAACGAAGTTGGCAAGCACTTCGCTGAGTCGGCTGCGCTCGCCACCGAAGCTGTGACCTCCATTCGCACCATAAGCTCGCTTACCCTCGAAAGCCGCATCATGGACGAATACAACGCCACGTTGAGCGGCATTGTGACTCGCTCATCGCGCTCCCTGTTCTTCACCATGTTCTGGTACGCCATCTCCCAGTCTATCGAATTCCTCATCATGGCTCTTGGCTTCTGGTACGGCTCCCGCCTCCTCGCCAACGGTGAATACAGCACACAGCAATTCTTCGTCATCTACATCGCCGTGATTTTCGGCGGTCAAGCCGCGGGTCAATTCTTCGGCTACTCGACCTCCATCACCAAGGCCAAAGTCGCCGCCAACTACATTCTCTGGCTACGCACACTCAAAGCCAAGATCGCCGAAACTCCCGAAAACAAAGGCATCGGCCCCCTCTCCCGTCCCGGCGATAAAGACGGTGCCCTCGCCGTCGAAGACGTCGAATTCCGCTACGCGCAGCGCGACGCCGCCCGCGTCCTCCGCGGCATCACTCTCGACATCCCACCGGGCAGCTACGCCGCGTGCGTGGGGCCCTCAGGCTGCGGCAAATCCACGCTCATTTCCCTCCTCGAGCGCTTCTACGACCCCACCTCAGGCCGCATCACCATCTCCTCCACCGACATCGCATCCATGTCGCCCCGCAACTGGCGCGCCTACATGTCCCTCGTGCAACAAGAACCCACGCTGTACCAAGGCAGCGTGTCAGAAAACATCTCCTTGGGCCTCTCCCACACCCCCAGCGAAACCGAGCTCCTAAGCGCGTGCCGCCAAGCCAACGCCCTGGAATTCATCCAGTCGCTGCCCGAAGGTCTCGCCACTCCCTGCGGCTCTAAAGGCCTGCAGTTCAGCGGCGGGCAAAGGCAGCGCATCGCCATCGCGCGCGCCCTGATCCGCCAGCCGCGCCTGCTGCTGCTGGACGAGGCCACGAGCGCGCTCGACACGCAGAGCGAGCGCGTCGTGCAGACGGCGCTGGACCAGGCGACCAAAGACAGCAGTCGTACGACGGTGGCGGTCGCGCATCGCCTCAGCACCATCAGGCATGCGGACGTGATTTTTGTGTTTGCTGGGGGAAAGGTGGCGGAGAGGGGGACGCATGATGAGTTGTTGGCGCTGAGGGGTAGATATTTTGAGATGGCGAGGGCGCAGAGTTTGGATCGAGCTTGAGATGGCGGCGCTTTCTATGTGTGTGTAGTGTGTGTGTATATGTAAGAGTAGAATGTTTTGGGAAGGGGTTGTCCGGGAGCTAGTTCGACCGGCGTCAGAGTAGCCAAATCCTCTTACGCCTCTCTCTCCCTCTCACTTTCAGTCTCTGTATTACCTATCTACATATTGATCTGGCTAGGCTCTGTCTTATCTCTCGCACAACTCACGAATCCCCATCCCCATTCCCACCCCAACAATCAGCTGCCTGTGCCGCTTCACTCCTCGTCGCCTACGCAGCCAACCGGTCCCCACTTCACAATCCGTGCTGTCATCATCAACCGTAGGCCGCACGCTCAGGCGGCGCGCAGCATCAGCATCAGCATCAGCCTCACCATGAATGCCTGGCCCCACGTGAACAGCGCGTTGGGCACGCATATGCAGGATCAGCGGCCTCCCGAAATTGCTGCTGGGCAGAGCAAAATGCTCTTCGTCGGTCTCACTCTCGCTGTCCGGGGGGACGACGGCGTGGTGGTTGGCGAACCTGTTGGGAATGGCGATTGAGAGACCAGTGTCGCTGTTTTGGGGAGGCCAGTGTGGGTACCGCTTCGTTGGCGCGGGCTTCAGCCACTTCAAGCTGATAGGTAGGGCCAAGTACGTGAAGAGATGGATCAGGAGGAGGAAAAGGAGCAGGAGGAGGCAGCCAAGTACTTGTAGACTGGTAGAAGGGGGCAACTGGTCGCTTGTAGATGGATGAAGTCGCTGACCGCGCATCTCGGCATGGGGAGTAGGTATCACTCAGCCTAGCCAGTCAATAGAAGGGGCTCGAGCAGCACCAGAAAGAGGCGGTCTGTGGGCAGTAGGTTTGACTGGAGCTGTGGCATGGATGTCAATGAGGAGGTTAAAGATCTTCCGCGAGGAGGTATCTGACTTGAGGGAATGGCTTTTATCTGTGTAGCTCTTGTGAGGGAGAACATGGAAATGGACACTGGGATTTCTAGTAGAGATGAGGTCTGTAAGGACAATGCGTCCGTAACAATGGCTGTAGGATACACGGGCATTTCCAACAAAGAGGTTCTTTCTCTTCAGACAACAATGGCATGGCCAGGCACGGTACGCCTGGCTGTGGCGCTTCGGTGTGCCAGAGATATATACTGAACTAGGAGAAGGGGAGAGGGACGCCTTCCGGCTTCGGTACAGGAGAATCCAAGGCCGAAAGGATACCAGGACTGCACCACCAATCTGAACACCTTGAGAAGTCCTGTCCCGATATTGTCTTGGTTTTGCTTATGTTGGAGGCTTATTCTGCATAGGCAAGTGGACAAGCGTCCCCAGCTAACGTTGTCGCTGACCTGAAGGACGATATACGGGCGCGTGGTAACATCGAGTGCGAGCTGCTGACGTGAAGCGCCTTTGCCACGCTGCAACCCCACGGAGCCCGAATCATATACGAGAGAGAAACGACGTGCTCCAGCCATTGTCCAAACCTACCTACTCGTGTCATATGCTCGCCACCCCCAGGATGTAACAGAAGTCCTGTGGCTCTACCTGGTTGTCCTACATGCCAAGACAACCTAATGCCACAGCACTTCAGGCACCCAACACGACGGGCTGACTCTTAGCGTCTATTACATATCTTAGACCTGACTGTCCTTGTTACCAAAGCCATCCAGATCTGTCGGTCCCTATACCGCCTCATACAGACCACAGACTCTTGTGACCAGCTGCCATGGTCTCTACTCTGACCCATCCTTTTGGCGTCGCCGCCCCAGCTTGGCCTGGCAGGAGCAACGACCATACAGTCACAAGTCATTGTAAGTACAGACACACCTTGAAGTGAACAATGGTCATCCACAAAATAGCTCAGAGCATGCAGCACCAAGAACGAGCTGGCGTAACGTATACGCCGCCAGACCAGTTTTCCCCGCCTCCATGAATTGAATCGGCTGGGTAGGGTAGCCCTAGCAATGGCTGACAGATTCGAGTTCCGAAATGGGATCATATAGAACGCTTCGTAGCCCAAGAGCCAGAACTCTTCCAAAGCTTCACGAATATGTGAGTCTCACTTTCCCTCACCTCGTAACCTTGACCTAACCAATCTCAGGTACCCTCGCGGCATACCACAGAAGCAAGTCGTTCAATTACGCGATGAGATCCTCAAGCGTGTCGGCACCGAAGGGCAAGCCTGCATGCTCTTCACGCATCCAACCTCGGTGGCCGCCCTCGTCGACTGGGCCTCTTCCCCTGAACGGAAGGACAATATGGTCCCCCGAGAAGCATTCACCATCCGTGCCTTCAGCCTTGGCCCGCAGCGACTCTGGGTGGCTTTCGTCCCTGCTGACGCCAACATGAAGATTCAAGGATTCTGGATGCATCCAGGCGTCGGCATCTCGACCAGACAAGCCCAGGAGGCCTTCTCTCATATCGATGTTCTTGAAGAGATCCAGGTCGACTCCGAAGTCCTTGCAATACCATTGGAAGCGGAAACTATCTATGCTGCTCTCCGCGAGCGCATCATTGGCATCGTCAATCGGGCTCCGCTCTCGACCTCTAACCGTCCCACATCGTCAGATGTCTACCTCTTTCCAACCGGCATGGCCTCTATCTATCGCTTACATCAACTCCTTCTCAGGACATCCCCCGGTCCCACCGTCGTCTTCGGCTTCACGTTCCACAGTACCCAACACTTGTTTGAAGATTTCCACCCGCCCGACGCACCCTTCCTCAACCTCGGCAACGCCGACGCCGCCGATCTCGCCACCCTGCGCACCTACCTCGCCGACCTTGCCTCCCAAGGCAAAACCATCCAAGCCCTCTGGACCGAATTCCCTAGCAACCCCAACTGCGTGACTCCCGACATCGCCGCTCTACGTGCGCTGGCCGACCAGTACGGCTTCCCCCTCATCATCGACGACACGGTCGCCAGCCCCGCCAACGTCGACGTCATGCCCTACGCCGACATCACCATTACCTCGCTCACCAAATCCTTCTCAGGCTACTCCGACGTCATGGGCGGCAGCCTGATCCTCAATCCATCCTCCCGCCTCTACAACCACTTCCACACCCTCCTCGCCACGCACTACCACAATGGTCTACACCACGCCGACGCCGCCGTCCTGCTCGCCAACAGCGCCGACTTCCTGTCCCGCAGCGCGATCCACAACCGCAACACCGCCGCCCTGGCTGGCTTGCTTGCTACCTCCCCACTTATCACAGAGGTCTACCACCCGCTACACCTCCCCGACTCACGACCGCACTACGAAGCCAGCATGAGGCCTCCCACCGAAGACTTCACGCCGGGATACGGCCTTCTGCTTTCCGTCGAGTTTGTGTCTCTGACTGCATTGACTGCGTTTGTAGGACCCCCCTCCACCGGCCTCCCTCTTCACTCTCTCTACCCAGAGTCAAATCCCTCTTTCTCACGCCAGCCTCCACATCCCCTCCACATCCTGTCTCTGACCCCTTCAAACAGTATGACGCCCTCGACATCTACAAATCCCCACACCTCGGCGGCCACGTCACGCTCGCCCTGCCGTACATGTAAGTCAAATTGAACTCTCCTTGGGGACAACCTCCTCCTCTCTTCCGCATCTACTTCTACTTACACGTTCATCCCAACTGGAGCTCCGTGCAAGTCGTGGCGGCATCCCCTCATTCTCATCTGATCATTCGCATTCGCCCCCCCCCCTCTCTCGCACCACTCTCCGCAGCATTCCCCCCCGGGGGAAATCCCGCTCTACCCAACCACAACACCCAAAGAGTCTAACCGAGTCTGTCCCCGCAGCTACGGCATCTTCGGCATGATGGGCCCAGCCGAGCTGGACAAGGTGGGACGGTGGGGGTACCGCAAGACGCAACTGCGGGTTGCGCCCGGGTTGGAGGACACGGAGGAGTTGTTGGGCGTGTTTAGGGTGGCGCTGGAGGCTGGAGAACGGGCCGCCGCTGTGGAAGAGCAGGGTGAGAGAGGGAAAGAAGAGTAGGAAATTGGGGAGGGGTAGGGAACGGAGAGTAGGCCATGAGGAAATGTGGAGGTGGTTTGGACACTCTTCTGACATAGATGATGGAGAGGGAAAGAGGAGGAGGAGGAAGAAGAAGGGAAGAGATGGGATGGTATGGCATTAGAAGTCGCTTCGTGGACTCTCTCCTTTTGTAAAGGCTGCATCGCGGCATCTATCTAGTCGATAGTCTGTGTCCAAGGAAGCAAGCCCGTGTCCAAGGAAGCAAGCCAGTGTCCAAGATAGCCTCGTGTCGTATCTCATGTGCTCAGACCTTAGACTCTTGGCCTGAGTATTCCTTGTCCTGAGCAAATCTCTCGCATCGTGTTGCAATGTGTTTCCACCCCTTCCATCAGCTCAAGCACTTCTCCAAAGTTCTGGTCATGACTCGTCCGGTCGTCGAAATCCAGCCGCCAACACCGATCATCATTTTCAAATGGGCCATTCTTCGTGCAATAGTTACCAGCCTCGCCTCAGGAATCAATCATCCTCACCATCCTCGTCCCACTGATCTACATACGAGGTCACGGTCCTAGCAGTCTTACGCTTGGGCCGTATAATCTCCTCATCCGACAACTCTTCCTTCAACTTCCGCTTGCCCGCGAGCTTCTTGTTCGGAGCACGCGACGCTGTACCGCCGATGCCTCCGCGCCGCTGAGTATCGCCACGTCCGCGGGCAGCGCCAGATCTGCTGGCCTTGGTCGCCGGGGTCTTATCCGGAGCGTCCTCGGCCCGGCCGGCTACACGACCCAGAGAATTGGCACGAGAGTCATCCTTGACTCTTTTGCCGCTTTTTGGCTTGCTTGGTGGTGTGGCAGCTGCGATATTGTGAGAGCGTAGCTGTTGCTCAAGAGCTGCACGTTTGCGGTCAGCGACAAGCTGGAGCATCTCTTCCATGGTACCTTGAGGCACAGGGTCGTAAGAAGGGTAGCCCATCTCTACAATCTCACGATCACCACCATCATAGAACCAAATCATCTTGGGATCCTCGACTTCTTGACCTTTGCGGATATCCCAGATGCCGTGGATCACGCCTGGGCCTTCGGGGCTATCAGGATGACCGACGACTTCATATGTACCATTGCGGTGACTTGTTGCTTGAACGTGGTATTTAGGGTGTGGTCGATCAGCATCTTTGCGGTCACGAACGTAACGATCAATGACATCGTCCATTGATGTACGCTGTTTGATGGTGGACGTGCTCATGAACCGCCATTTGAAGCCGTCAGCGTTGAATACATTCGTGGTGCAGTAGTCCTCAGGGTCGTAGCCTTGTTTATCCTTCAATCTGAGCTTGACCTTTAAGGCTGGACCAAACCCTGGTGGGGGACGAGCGCGCTGGCTTGTAGAGCAATCAAACTCTTTCGCGACGAACCATCGGCCTGACAACTGATCGTGCGAGGCAACTGACATGACGAGCTTCTGCCATGTAACATCCACGCGACTTGTACCAGGGAAAGCATTATCAAGTTCTGAAGATGTTAAACCCTCAGGGGGCACAGTCTGCCAAATCTCGAATCTGGTAGGGAAACCGTCAATATCATCGATCATACCCGCAGCCTTCTTTGCCTTGATTTCCTTATCCTCGGCTTGTAGCTGGGCTAAAAACTCATTCATCTCAAGGATCAGAGCATTGATGTTCTGCTGATCAATCCCAGCCTCTTGCAGGGCTTGGGCAACCGGGTTCCACGTTGCGACCGATTCATCCAGACCATCACCAACAACTTGGAGAAGTGCATTGGCCTTAACTCGAATGTTGTCTGTAATAAAGGCTCTCTGCTTCTTCCATAGCTCTAGATCTTTGGTGTCAAGAGCAAGGACAGGGACTGAATCTTCAGGTGTTAAGATGTCCCCTCGTAGCGAAGGGCGCGCTGGAGTCTGGAACGGAGTGTCAAGCTTCTTCTTGACAGAAATAGGCTCTGTGTCAGCATAAGCCCCATTCATGTTGCTGTTGGTCAAGTTAATCGGAGTTCGGTCCCCGTGATCGAACGGTCGTGAGATGTCTTCCACTTCCTCATCATCGTCCTCCTCCTCCTCATCACTTGAGATATACTCCTCGCTCTCAGGATCCAGCTCCATCGCGATAGCAGTAAGCTGGTCACGCAGTATCTGCTCTTCTGTAATAGTGTTGTGGGTGATAGCACGTTGCTCGTCATTCTGAGGCATGTCAAGCAAACTCTTGAGATACGTCAACTGAACGTTGCACCGGAATATCTCCCACAAGCAATACATCATTAGATTACGGCCCATTGGGTTGTTCTTCGTTACTCGAGCCTTCTTGAGCCAATCTTGATTCGGGATAAGAGAGTTGCGACCGAGTCTGTTGATAGTCCGGTCAATCAGGTCCTGAACCCCAAGATGACGTGCATTAATACGCTTCTGAACCCGTTTCCACTGTATCTGGGCCTCCACGAGTTCACCAGCAGTGATTGAGTAGTCGGTCTTGCGCGAAGGGGGGTCTGTGTGGATATTCCGCTTGGCCTGAACCACGATAGCTTTTGATGGACTAGGCTGGCGCTTCTGCTTCTTTCGCTCCAGTTGTCGACCTCGCTCCTCCTCCATAGCCTGCTCCAATTCGGCAGGAGACATCTTCTCCTGGCCGTCAGGGGCCTTCTGTGGGATCAAACCCTTTTTGACAGCCTCAGTCCAGACAACTTGCATCTTAGTGGTCGCAAAGTCGATGAGCTCCAGGCGACGATCGTGATTGTCAATCATGGTAGCCCAGTAAGCCCAACGTTGAATGTAAGCCAGGATCTCCATGTAAATAGGCAGATCGGGGGCGGGCAAGAGCTTCTGGTTAAACCGGAGAACATAGTCTGGCTGTTGGTTGAGAGTTCCAGGAGAGCTTGACACATATCTGCGGGGTGGTGTAGACGAGGCACGGCCAGCCTGTGTTCGATGAGTTCGGTAATCTTGACTGTGGTCTTGTTCGGCTAAGAGGTTGCTTAGCCCTTCAGTGGTGAGAGGGACAAAAGGATCATCGCTATTGTCATGCTTGCGAGACTGTACCGGCCCAGGCTCTCCATGCTGCGGTAATGCACCTCTTGCTGACTGAGACTCAAAGAGGTTGAGCTGCTCAATCACCTCATCACTGTCACTCTGGTCACTGGATTCTTGCTTGTTGCTATGTTTCATCGAAGCGTTGACTTCGCCTGGCGCTGTGAAAGGATCGCTGAGCCGGGTAGGATAAATGAAAGCCGGACTGGACATCGTCGAACTCGGCGATGAATCCAAGGCTGCCACGATAGGCTTGTTGGGGGTCAGCGGGGCCATGTTGAGGCTGAGATCCCTGGCAGCTTTAACTACACTGGCCTCGCCGTCGGTTATGGGCATTGGAGGTGCCTCACCTGCTGTAGGAGGTGTTGTAGATCATGTCATGTCGCAAACCATTCGCATAGCGAAGTTGCTGTTGTGAAAGGAGTATGAAAGTCGAAAAGGCTAAAAAGACTTAGGACGCAGCCAGGGAATCAGATCTAGATCTGGAGCCTGAACAGAGATTCACCCATAGATGACACATGACTGAGGACAATGGTAAGGCGGTCAAGCCGATTCTGCCAGATTCGAGTCGGTGAATGAGATCAGTCTAAGGAATTGCGCTACGCGCAAGACCAATAGATCAGAGTCTGCATCAATAAGATCAAAGCATTGAAGCAGAGTACCTGCCATCAAGGAAGCCGTATCCAGCAGCTGTGAAGTCAGTAGAAAACAATGCTTAATCAGAACGGTTTTTCTTGATAAGGAAATGGTAAAGATAGAAATGCAAGAGGAAAATTTTCGTTGGTCATTCATCTGCGCATCAAGCGTAACTCAAAAGAGAGTGTCACAGCTCGTCGTGCTCGGGCTCGGGTTCGGGCTCAAGCTCGGGCTCAGGATCTGCTACAGTCTCGTCGGTAGGAGAGTCCTCTGCGATTTCCGGCTCTGCTTCTGGCTCAGGCGCAGGGGCCTCGTTTTCTTTGCCGCCAAAGGCTGTGGGCAACTTCTCGGGCTGACCATCACCAAGCTTGATAGCATCAATGAAATTTTCAATATTCGGAAAGGACGAGGGATCGCCTTTGAAGTGACGCCACCAGCCGCGCTTATTGTTCACGGCAATAATTTCAAGTTTGGAGTCATCCTGTAGACCAAGATCGGCACGGATAACCTTGGCCTGCTCGTTATCAGCAGAGACGCCGTAAAAGGGGAAGGTATTGTCTCTGCGTCTGGTGTGCTTGTCGGCGATGTTGGCAAAGTGAATTAGTGCCTCTGAAGCCTCCTCGGCTACGTTAACCTCAGAACCAGCGGGGAGGAGGACCAGAATGCAGGTGCCCTTCTTCGGGCCAAGAGCAGCTTCATTGAGCTCCTCGACAGAAGCTAGAATAGGGATGGCTGGGATTTCGGGCATGACAGCGGGCTTCTGGTCGTCGACGATAGGAAGAGGCGACTCCGTAGGGGTATCCTCATCAAGAACAATGGTTTTTGCGCCAAGCTCGTCGTCCAGATCAGATGATTTGTGAGCCTCAGAGGCTTTAGAGAACGAACTCGAAGCCGAGGCAGCCTTCTTTTGGTCTTTTGCCTTGGTGGCTTTAGCCTTACCAGGAGCCGGGTCGGGATTGGGCGATGCGAACTTGCTCAAAAGATCGATCAAAGGCTGTCTCTTCATGTCGGCGGAATAGACAGTATGTGGTGATCCGTCGCCAGGAATGACAACGATGGAAGGGAAATCGCTAACGCCAAACTTGTCGACGGAGGTTTGCTCCTTGCTTCTGATCTGGCCAACGCTGACGGAGCCCAGGAATTCAATAGCCAGAGCTCTGATCAGAGCACTGGTTGTGCCCTTCTCGGTGAAGAGGATGGCTTTCGTTGAAGTTGCAGTATCCGCCAACCAGTTGTCAATGGTAGAATCTTGTAGCTTCTTGACATGGTTTGGGATCTTGTCGATGACAGCGTCGACAATCGCTTTGGCAGTCCTCGGTCCTTGATAGTCCTCGACCATAGGCCTTCCGCGCTTATTTCCAGGCTTGACAATCTTGAGGGTAGGGAAGCCTTGGACTCCCATCTGGCCACAGAAGGGCTTGTTCGAATCATCGTCGCAGTTGATAGCAGCAACCTTTGCGAGTCCGTCAAGATTCTTTGCTGCCTTCTCGTACGCGGGCTTCAGGTTCTGGCAATGTCCGCACCAAGGTGCATAGAACTCGACGATCTGCACGTGTTAGCAGAGTATACAGTTGGTCACACCTGACTCACCGAGCTGTAGTTGGACTGAGCAATCAAAGAATCGTAAGTCTTAGCCGTGACTTGCAGGACGGGTGAGTTCTTGGTGTAGACGGCATCTGCGTTGACAAGAGCACCAGCCAGCGCGAGCAGAGCAACACCAACTTTGGTAGCCATGGCGGCGTTAGCAGACGATCTGGGGGACAGCACTTCAGGGAATCAATTCATGAAATAACAAGCCGGAATCGACAAGTGGTCTCATCATCGGTGATACACCAGTCTTCTCGTCGTTGGCCAGAGTGTCAACTTCGTGGCTGGCCGCAGGAATCTGGGGAAGCTGCATTCAGCCTTGCACCACTGCGTTCTCAGCTCCGCGGGTGGGTTTCGCCAAGCTGTACTTCTCTGCCTTGTGTAGACGACATGGCCCTGGATTCTTGATGAGATATGCCGGATAACAGGAGCAATTGAGTAATCAATTTTACAGGCTTCTGACCGGAAGCTGCGCCATTTGAAAAGCTGAAACAGTGCAGCTGGCTGAAGTGCAAGTGATGTCTCTTCCGAAATACTGCTGAGTCTATCTAGTTCTCGGTCCAGCAGCGCTCAAGTCGTACGGAGCGCACCTCTTCCTACCTGGCCGGATACTGGGCAGGTCCTTCTGGACGACCACTTTGCTGCAAGCTGCCTTCAGAGAGCCTTCTGTTAAGTACAGCTCATGAGTCGCTAGCGTCTTTGGTGCAAGCGTTCGAAGATCCCCTGGTCAACCTCCCGGCCTATTACAACCACTCTGACAAAGCGATCCGAATCTTGTCCTTGGTAAACATAACCCCCTCAATGGAGGCCCAACAAGCGCTCGAGTTCCTCCGCACTGTCCGCGTACAGGAACGTATCTGGAACAGCTGAATCGCGCACAGTATTGCCTCCACCATCCATGCCATCAGCTTTAGCGGCGCGAAACTGGGCTGCTGCGGAAGGTTCTCCGAGCAGGTCCCCATCCACGTCCACGCCACCGACTACATTCCCGTCCGTAGGACGACATGAGAAGTCCCATCATTACCAAGCCGGTACGCCGGAGTTGCGCAGTAAATTGAAGATCCATTACTCGTGCGCGCACTGCCGGAGCAACAGTCTCGAGGCCGACACAGAAACTACGGGATTGCAGCCACACTGGCTCAATGGTGTGAAGTGCTCTTTGGGCAAGCTGCTTCGCGTAGGCGGCTCTCAGGGCGAACTCACGAGTGTAGCCTGCGATTGTGCTTGCTTGCCTCCACGTTGTGAAAACAGCTCAGTAGCGGCAGGATACACCACTACCACTCCTGGATAATTGTAAGAAAAGTCTCGCTCTGCATTGCTGCTGCACTCTCTGTTGCTAACCATTCAAGCAACCTTTGAGAAGAAGGTCGCATTTTAACGGCCGGGCGCCTTCATGGTACCCTTCACCCGACACTAGAAGTCGAACTCGTGCTCATCTTCGTCGCTCTCCTCCTCTGCCTCTCCCTCTCCCCTTCCTCCTTCACCAACCATCTCACTCTCGCGCCCCACGATCCAAACCTCCCACCTCCGCTCCCACCGCCGAACCTTCCCTTCTCCCATATCATCCCAGAACCTATCCCTCCAACCGGGAAACACCCTCTCGCGCCACACCTCCTCCCTCAGCGCCATGCGCAGCCGAACCACTAACTCGTCTCGCGTCGGCACCTTCTCGGGGTCGTCGACGTCGTTGACCTCGTTTTCCTCCCACTCTTCGGCGTACGTAATGCCCTGGGCTGCCTGGTAGGCGAGGGAGCGCGGAGTGGTGCCGCGGGAGAGGAAGGAGATGATGGGGGAGGGGGATGTTGGCGTTGCTGTTGCTCTCGATGCGGATGCTGGCGAGGCGGCGTGTTCGCGCTTGTCGGTGAAGGATAAGACGGTCATGTCTGCGGTTGTAACGAAACGAGGCGAGGAGTTTATGTGGTATTTGTTTGTTTGCCACAAAGGAGGAGCAGCACGACTGGCAAGGAGGGAATGGTAATTGAATTGTGCTGTGCTGTGCTGTGCTGCGAACAAGTTTGTGAGAAGGACGGTATGGAATTAGAAAGGGGGACGTTGGTAGCTGGGAAGCCTGCAGCCTCTGGAGTGGCAGTGAATAGGAACAAACGGGCACAACATGACGGCATATTAGGCAGTGAAAAGGATACTGCCAGGGAGATTGGTCCGGGCGGTGTCGAGTGAATGAGAGGGGCGAAGAGGGAGTCCGAAATCGTCGAAGCAAAGCTTGCAACACCATGGTTAATAAGACTGATGGGTGGGCTCCCTGATATAGCAAATCGCGCATAGAAACGTCTGCTATGGGTCTCAGCAGCCCGCCGCTAAAGTTTGTTGGTCGGTGGTGCAGGATCTAGGAGACATTAGCTCAAAAGACGAGATGTTTCAGTCTGAACAGGATCCCGGAGACGACAAAGAAGATTGATCTCTGCGAGTGGCTGCCTACTGGCCTAGCATATATGTACAAACCTCCGTTCGATTATTTCGAATTGAGTTGATTCTGCTGAGACCCATCTACATGTCCTCCGACGCCGTGGCACCGGTGATAATCTCCACCAACTCGCCGGTAATGACGGCTTGACGGGTACGATTGTACAGAATGGTGAATTTGCTGATCATGTCCGAGGCATTGTTCGAAGCGTTCTGCCTAATGTCAGTACCATCTCGTATCAGCGAAGCAAATTTACTTACGTCCATGGCGTTTCGGCGGGCAGACTGCTCGCAAGCGTGACCCTCAGCCAAAGCCCAGTAGAGTGAGTTGGCCAGGGTGTACTCGCGGAGGTTACCGAGCACCGCGTCGTCGATCTCGAAAGCAGCGAAGTTGGGAGAGTTGGCAATAGCCTCCTCGGAGTAGGCCTCAATCGCAACAGGCTCGTAGGATTGCGCATTGATGAACTTGTTGTAGAGAATGCGGATAGAAGCGTACTCCTCGGGAAGTAGGCAGATCTGGTCGGCGATGGCTTGCGCATCAGCGAAGGTAGGAACATCCTTTCCAACGCCAGCAAAGCTCAGCTGGATGTTCTTGGGGTTGGAGCGACTGAGCTGAGACTTGGACTTCTCGCCAATAACAGCCAGGTCAAGGTTGGAGTTCTCGCTGAGAAGCTTTCGGGTCGCACGAGTGAGACCAGAATGAATACCACCGCAAAGACCCTTATCCGAGGAGCAAATAACCATCAGGGTCTTTTTCTCTTCCAAAGGCTTGGTCTCAGCCTCTTCGAAAACCTTGTTGGAAACTTGGCCGTAAGTTCGGGAGTCGGTCATGGCTTTCTGGGCGCGGGTAAGCTTGGTAGAAGCGACAATCTTCATCGTCTTGGTGATTTTCTCGATGTTGCGGATGGACTTGAGGCGCCCTGATCTACATTAGAATGGTTCACCCTCCGCGGGTTTGTGGGGAGGCTGACCTTCGATTTCTCGCAAGGTGGCATAGTTGGCAGATTGAGGGACAGCAGCTCTACAGGCATGTAAGCATATGCGCGGGGATCAGTCGCTCGCTTTGAGAGCTGTTGAAGCTAGGAGCTCACCTGGCGACGACGGTGCTACCGGTCCGCAGAGCGGGCCTCACCGCTTGAGACAGCATCTTGTCGGGTCTGTAGGTTTACAGACCTGATAGACGACGGTTGCGAGGAAGGGAGAGGAGAGATGCGGGAAAAAGATCGTGGTTGAAGCTCAATGAGCACCTGCCGTCAAGGTCGGAGCAGGGAGCAGCTTGAGAAAGCTTGGCGTCACGTGACGACCCTGTCCCTCGAAACTTTGTTATAGGCCGTTCCACTGCTACTTCTTGTCCTTCTCCTCGACCTGCGCTCGTCGGCGTCCTTTTTTTCCATTACCTCCTGCATCTTACCCACGACACCCCCATCACCACGCCTTCCCATCACTCGGTTTTCTGCCTTTTCAGGGCATTTCTCGGCCCTCCCGGCGCATAAGTCGGACCCAGCCCGTCATTCTTCTAATCGGGAGCGCGTTCCGCGTTACCCCTCGACTCCAGCTCTTGGTCAACTTCAGCTACACATCAGCCTTTACGCGCTTTCAACCTAGTCGGAATACCTTCGCTGCTTACGCACGTCCACAGGCCATATACGCGGGCGCAATGGCCTCCTCATCCGATGATGATATGCCTATAAGCAAGGCTCGCAAGAATGGTGTGAATGGGAGTAAGTGGCCCCAGCGTCCAAACAATCACCGTTCGTTTCTAGGCCACATCTCGACGCACACAGCATGTAAGACGAATGCTGACTGGCCTATATAGCTTCTGCTCCACCTGTCTCCTCCGCGAAGATTCCCTCTAGCCTCGACAGGCAGATGGACAAGACACTGCCGACCAATGGCGAGATCCAACCAGGTATCTCGATACGAAATGGACCTCTCACTGAAGATGTCGAGATGAAGGATACCAATGGCTCGGCTGCACCCGCCAAGAGGAAAGTCAGCCGGCCTAGCTACGCCGAGGAGGAGAGTAGTGACGACGATAAGCCAATTGTACGTGTTACATTGCCCTCTGGCAGAGGTCTCAGCGACTGATTTTCTGCTCCAATAGATCAAAAAAAGAAAAACCCAGCCCGAAACAGCCGTCGAATCCGATTCAGATGTCCCTTTGGCCAAGTCGAAGCCCAATGGCAAGGTTGCAAAGAAGCCTCCTCGAGCGAGCAACCAACAGATAGGAGAAGACTCTGACTCTGATGTGCCCATACAGAAGAAGCTCATCCACGAGAAGCAGAAGATTGAGGCTAAGGCTGAGAAGGATGCTCAGAAGATCCGCAAGGCTGATAAGCCGAAGAAGGTCAAGAAAGAGGAATCCTCCGACGATGACAAGCCGCTCAAAAAGACCAAGCCAGCTCCCGCCGCCAAAGCCAAGACGAAAGTGAAAGTTGAGTCTCCTGCTCCGAAGAAGGCCGCCGGTAAGAAGGCCGCCGTCAAGAAGGAAGAAACCGAGGACCCGGAAGAGGATGACGAGGATGAAGGCACTAACTGGTGGGATGATCCGACCAAGGGCGACGGCACCAACAAGTGGGAGACACTACAACATAGTGGAGTCGTCTTTCCTCCCCCATATCAGCCTTTGCCGAAGAATGTCAAGCTGAAGTACGATGGTATTCCGCTCACTCTACACCCCGACGCCGAAGAAGTGGCCGGGTTCTTCGGCGGCATGCTCAACTCAACCCATAACGTTGAGAACCCGACCTTTCAGAAGAATTTCTTCAACGACTTCAAGGAAATCCTGAAGAAAACTGGTGGTGCAAAGGGACCCAATGGCGAAAAGGTTGATGTCAAGGATTTCAAGAAATGCGATTTCAAGCCAATATTCGACCACTATGATGCGGAGAGAGCGGCCAAAAAGGCACTCCCAGCTGCCGAGAAGAAAAAGCTCAAGGCCGAGAAAGATGCGGCCGAGGCGCCATATATGTATTGCACATGGGACGGCAAGAAGCAGAAGGTTGGCAATTTCCGCGTGGAACCACCTGGCCTCTTTCGCGGTCGTGGCGAGCACCCCAAGACCGGTCATGTCAAGACTCGCGTGCCGCCTGAGCAGATTACCCTCAACATCGGCAAAGAAGCCACTGTGCCTGCTCCCCCTGAAGGCCACAAATGGAAGGAGATCAAGCACGACAAGCAGGGTACTTGGCTCGCCATGTGGCAAGAGAACATCAATGGCAACTACAAGTATGTCATGCTTGCGGCCAACTCTGATGTGAAGGGCCAGTCGGACTACAAGAAATTTGAGAAGGCCCGAGAGCTCAAGAAGCACATCGACAAGATCCGTAAAGACTACCGCAAGAACCTCAAGGCTGAGATGATGGCCGACCGACAGAAAGCCACGGCCATGTACTTCATCGATCAGTTCGCGCTCAGAGCTGGTAATGAGAAAGGCGACGATGAAGCCGAGACAGTAGGCTGCTGCTCCCTGAAGTACGAGCATATCACCCTCAAGGAGCCCAACAAGGTCATCTTCGACTTTTTGGGTAAAGATTCGATCCGATTCCATGAAGAGTTCGATGTTGACCAGCAGGTGTTCAAGAATCTGAAGATCTTCAAGAAGGCCCCTAAAGGTGAAGGCGATGACATATTCGATCGGCTCACCACGACCCAGCTCAACAACCATCTGAAGAACTACATGCCCGGCCTCACGGCGAAGGTGTTCCGTACCTACAATGCTTCGTACACCATGGCTACACTCCTCAAAGATATGAAGGCTGAGGGTACTCATGCCGAGAAGGTCAAGGCATACAACGATGCCAACCGTAAGGTGGCAATTCTCTGCAACCACAAGCGTACAGTCGCTGCCAGCCACGAGAACACCATGGAGAAGCTTAGCGAACGCATCAAAGCTGTTAAGTATCAGCAATGGCGTCTCAAGCACATGATTCTTGATCTTGATCCCAAACAGAAGAAGAAGAAGGGTGCCGAGTGGTTCGAGCTGCCCGATGACATGGATGAAGAATGGGTCAAGGAGCACCAAGCCTTCCTGGTTGAAGAGGCCAAGAACAAAATCACCAAAAAATTCGAGAAGGACAACGAGAAGCTCAAGGCCGAGGGTGAGAAGGAGATGAAGCACAAGGAACTTGAGGAGAGACTCGAGGCTGCGAAAGAGCTCGAGAAGAAATACAAAAAGGAAAACAAGACCAAGAAGGTCGAAGCTGAAGGCAAGTCGATCACAGTGGAGAAGCTCGAGGAGAACATCAAGAAGTTCGATCAGAGAATCGAGAACATGACGGTCCAAGCCGAAGACAAGGAGAGCAACAAAGAAGTCGCGCTCGGCACTTCCAAGATCGTAAGCGCTCTTCATCACCAACGGAAGCCACAGCTAATGCTCTACAGAACTACATCGACCCACGTTTGACCGTCGTCTTCACCAAGAAGTTCAACGTACCCATCGAGAAGTTCTTCTCGAAGACTCTGCGCGAGAAGTTCGAGTGGGCCATCAAGTCAGTTGAAGAGGACTGGGAGTTTTGAGCAACGCCCGATCAGTAGTGACCGGCGAGTCACCGAGCTCGAGATGCGACCACCGAGGGCTGGACGCGGGTATGCATGATTGATCATAGCTAGTGCTGCATTTTATCGGCCAGACCGTAGAGCTACTGATACTCTAGACATCGTACATTCAGTAATGCAGAAGAACGTACATTACTATAAAGTTACCCCTCAAGACCGCCCCAGGCGCCTCGATTCTGCTAGCACCGCTCAGAAATTCCCTGGCGAGTTTAGCTCTGATCAAGCGAGAATTGGCGTAAGGCACCTAGCATTGTGGGCCAGACCGCCGCCCGGGTTATTGCTCCAGACTACTGGCCCCTGGAGACTGACAAAGCAATATGCCGAGTCTATAGGGCCTCGGACTTTGCGATGCCCCGAAAAGCCAGATGGTCAGTCATTTGGTAAGCCTGTTGAACCCTGAATTTGGGCTTCCCTATCCTGCTGATTTGGCCCCGGCTGCTCTCAGACGATTAGCGTGACTCTTATTTTCATGTTGCCTACCTGCAATATCACGACGTCACCTTCGCGGTATTAACAACCACCCTTCCACAGCGTCCAAGTCAGCTCAGGCGGCAATGACAAGCGCCTAGGCGCACACGCATCATCGACAACAATAATCGGTCGCTATGGACAGACCACAGCCCTTGGAATCTCAGCCTCCAGACCCACAGCGCCGCGAGTCTGAATCTCTGTCAGCTTTGCGTAGTGCGCTGCAGGAGGCCAAGAATGCCCACGACATCGACATCGACAGCCAGCCAGACGACGATGCTTCCAACGAGGAAGGCTCCCCCGACAAGCCCGCTCGCCGGCCAAAGCGAGCGCGCGCGTGCATCGCTTGTCGCAACATGAAGATCCGCTGTCTGCCGGTTCAAGGCCAGGAGGCGTGTCTGGCCTGTTCCAAGGTAAACCGCGAATGCGTCATGCCCGGCCCTGCACGGAAACGACAAAAGACAGTACACAAGGTCGCAGAGCTTGAGAAGAAGATAAATGCCCTCACCGACGCCCTCATCGCCCAGCAGGCGGCCAACCCAACTCCTCCCAATGACTCCCCGAATACAGACCGCCAAGAAACCCAGTCAGATGTGACACGCACCAACACCACTATCACTTCAGATCCGCAGCGTGAGTCCGAGCGTTTATCATCGTACGGGAAGATCCCCGTGGAGAATCCCAATGTCAATTTCGAGCAAGGACATCTCGACTGGGGATGCTCCAAATTTGAGCACCCTCGAGAGAAACTGGAGCCATACGCCGACATAATCGAACGCGCCCTGCTTGACATGCCTACTGCCAACAAGATTTTCGGTCACTATGTCAACAACATGCTCCCGCACTTCCCCGTGCTCGCCTTTCCCGGCACCATCACTGCTCAAGATGTACGAACGGCCAGGCCCATGTTGTTCTTGGCCATCCTCACCGTCGCGGCTCCCGCCATCAAGCCCGAGCTGCATGGTAACCTTGTCGTCGAGCTGACTCGCCAGTTGTCGGAGAGAGTTCTTTTCGTCGGTGAAAAGAGTCTGGAGGTCGTTCAGGCGATACTGGTCTACACCAACTACTATACCAGAAATAAGTACGCAAAGGACCTGACCTTCAACCAGCTCATACACTCCGCCGTGGTCATGTGTTTGGATCTAGGCATGGGCAAACGCTACAAATCACTGCAACGCGATCGCACTGAAGAGGCCGAAGTCCGGCGAACATGGCTTTCGTGCTACTACTTTGCCTCTAATGTCTCCATCCTCCTCCGCCATCCCTCTCTCGTTCGCTGGTCACCCTACCTCGAAGACTCCATCGCTTATCTCGGCGGTCCTACCGCTTCCGACGCCGACCGCTGGCTCTGTGCCTTGGTACGCACCCAGCAAATTGCCGAAGAAGTCTCACTCGTCTTCAACATGGACGATCAGTCATCCAATGTTTCTTTCGGTGACACTTCTACGCAATACCATCTCAAAGCCTTCGAGAAACAACTTGCTGCCTGGCATGACAGTGTTCCCGCCTCCATCAACTCCAATGTCGTGTCCCATATCGCGGCAAGCATCAACCTTTACGTGCACGAAATTGGCCTTCACCTCGAGCACGATTCGAACATGGACGACTGGGCCGGCGGCATGAAATTCGTCGAGGGCAGACCTGGCTCAACCGCCCCGTTGCCTTCGGGTAACACTGTCCAGCCTACAACCGCCAAATCCCACATCACCATCACTCACATCGACGCCCTAGCGCAGTGCCTAGACTCGTCACACAAAATGCTTGACGCCTGGCTTGCCTTGCCTCTCTCAACAGGACGCAACCTTCCCAACCTGGGCATTGTGTGGAACACCTACGCCATTGTGGCGCTCATCAAGCTGCACGGCGTACTCTCCGCGCCCGACTCTAAATTCCTCGAGGTATTCTCGCCCGAACTGAGAGTCGACTATTACATCCTAGCCGTGATCGAGCGCCTACAGGAACTCGCCGCCGACGGTCGCTGTCCGCCCGCCGAAGCTTTTGTATACGTGGTCCGCAAACTGCGCAGCTGGTTCGAGCACAAGCGCAGTGGCTTCCCGGAGCAGCATAGCGACGCCGACGACGGCGGCGATGTCAGCGCCGGCGTCAAGGCCGGTGGTGATGGCGGCTTCGTCGCTTCCCACAAGCGGTACGCAGACGACGTGATGCGTCTGGCGCAAGAGCGAGACATTCTGCCACAAGACCTGCCGCGCTCCGGGTCGCTGTCGCAGCGGCCTAGTCCGAACCTTGACCCGGCGGGTGCGCCCTTCGACGTTGGTGGCAGTGCGGCGCAAGCGTCGCAGCCGCTGGTCGGAACCAGCAGCATGCCGAGCAGTCAGATGAATCCGATGGGCATCGGTGGCAACGGTGGTGGTGGCTTTCCAGCCTCACAGCAAGTGCCTGGCAGCGGGCCATTTGCTAACAATAACAGCAGCAACAGCCAGTTTGCGACCATGTCGGATTTGAACGTCGCGTACAATGCCGCGAGCTACAATATCAACTGGGATGAATTGAACTTTAGCCAGCAGGAGATGAATCTGTTCGACGAGTATATGGGCGAGCGCGGCTGGATGGGGTATATCATCTGAACGGAAGACGCCAGTGCGATGGAGGACTAAGGCTGTCTGGAAAGGTTTTGCATGCATTCATCAGCGATGACAGGCGATGGCGGGAAACGAGGAGTTTCAGAAAGAAGACCAATTGCAGGCAAGCAAGCAGTTTTTGCAGGCTCCGACGTGGAACGTTTTTTTCAGAAGAGACATATATTTCTCTGCTCACGCATAATTGTATATCAGAATCCCATCAACCTTCATGTTCGAACGATGGAGTATATGAGTCTTCCATCTCCACAGTTCCCCCATAACCCTTTCGGGCAACCCAACCATTCGCCTGTCATGTCCGTTTCCCATTATACCTTCTCGTATTCTAACGCCCAGGGAAACGCCTCGCTGATCCCCCATCAATCAATCAGTCAGTCAGTCAGTCATCCCCTTCCCTTTAGCACCATCCCAAGCTCCGCCCCCTCAAACGCTCACCCCCACCCCACAACCCCAACCCCCAAAACCACCGCCTCCTCCGCGTCCAGCACGCTCACCGTCCGGCCCACGACGCCGTCTCCACCCACCCCGAGATTCAACCGGTGGTGGTGGTGTCGGCGGCGCGCGGGCTCCGCAGTAAGAATGCAGGCTCCGCCGTCGGCGGCGCAGGCGAACGCGTGCATCACGGGCGAGGCCTCGGAGAATTCGTGGATGCGGATCGTCAGGCCTCTTTTGTCCGCCTCGAGAGCTGACGAAGGAGAGGACGACGAGGTGGTGGTGGTGGTGGTGGAGGAAGTGGAACAAGTGGACCAAGCGGGCGAAGGCGCCCGACTCGGTAGCAGGACGAGCGAGGATTGTGTGGGACTGGAGGGTGTGGCGGGGTTGGAGAGGTGGAGGGTCGCGCCGGCGAAGAGAGGGAATGTGGATGTTGAGGTAGATGCAGGAGGTAAGGGGTGGATAGCGGCCATGAGGGCGCCGGAGTCGATGGTTGGGGCGCGGGAGAGGCAGCCTTGGTTGCACATGGTGGGTGGGAACCCAGTGAGAGACTTCGCGGGATCGGGTGGAGTGCTACTTGAATTGGGACGTAGCGATGGAGGAGTGTTGGACGTTGGAGTGCTGAGCGGGAAGCGGTGGACAGGTTCAGTAGAATCTTGGAGTCCTGAGGTTTGGCAGTATAGGTCTTGGTGTCGGTGCTGTAGTTGTTGCAATTATATCGGCCTGACGTATCAGCAGCGTGTCTGTGTCGTCCTTATCGTTCCTTTCTCAAAGTCGCAAAAGGTAAATTACGGTGCTGCCGCGGGAGTCCTGACTGTCGCTCAACTGTATGGTATCATTTCCCTCCCTCTAGAGCAGCAGCAGACCCCCCCGAATATATACAATTCAGACACTCCATACCTCAGCCTCCACACAACACATCCCTAGGCCTCAAATCACCACATCACCACATGATCAAGATTGCACCTGCCTCCATCAGCCGCACAGCAATCATAACGAGCACGTTTCGAGCACTTTTCCCCCATGCACAGAGACGACCTCGAACTTGCTCAGGTGAGCAGGTTTCCCCGCCAAGACATCGAGGCTGAAGCGGATCTCGGTGCCTCGCTCTGCAGTGTGGGTCGCTGGCTACGATCTATTAATCTCGGGTTTAGTTTCCGTCAATTCCATGATGAGGGATCGCAATTATTAGGGAGAACTGTGCAGTTTCTTAAGAGAAGAGCTAAGTGTGATGCACCTGATGCAGCGTCAAATATGGAGTGTGGCGGCAAAGGAGACGATCGTGGTATATTTGAGCCCCAGCTACGAGAGGAGATGAATGGTTCGATGAGCAAGATTTGGCACGCTGCCTGAATACTCGGCCCAGACTGTGCATTCGGCTGGTGCAGAGTCGTAGAACACACATCAGTACGACCAGCTTGATCTTGCTGCGTTGCAACCCTTAAGCCTGGCCACTCCCCCTTTCCAACGATCCGGCACGGTCCTGTTCAAACGCATGCATATGTTGGCAATCCGCTCCAGTCCAAAAAACACTGCCAAAGTCGTCCTGCTATCTTGATTTGATATCTCCAAGAAGCACCTTCAACAACAATTACTCCCTGGCGCACGTTAAACAATGTTGATTCATACCCATATGTCGCCTGTCGTTTCTCGTTCTCGTACACAAACAGCAATCCTCAAAGGCAGATGCTGTGTCAGATGTAGAACCTAGATCACAGAAAGTGTGGTTGATGCACACTCAGGGCCCTGTGCAGCACGTATATCAGAATCTATCCCACAGCCATACCCAGAAATGAAAATAAAAGAAGGCACAGTCCTACCTCGCTAATCCGCCTCCACCTGTTTGGACTTGTTCTTGTCCCGGACCCGCACTCATGACCGGCGGGCCCCCAGTGAGATTAGCGACGAACTCTTGGTATCGGAAGACGTCACCGCCGTTTCGCTTTTGTGCTGGAGTGTTGATGCCGCGTACACCTGAAATACCGCCGGTGTTGCGTCCAAGGATGCGACGGCCGGTATATCCCTCCAAGGCGCGATCAACATCTCGCTCGGCTAATCGCTGCTCGCCAGGATCTGGCAATGTGGTCAAGAGAGCAGACTTGAGTTCAGCGACATCAATCTGACCTGAGTCGTCATCGTCAAACGCAGAAAATGCGTTGAGCAACTCTTGCTGAGGTGAAAGTGCTGCCAGAAGAGAGGCTAGCTGGTTGAGGTACTGTGGGAGTGAAAGCTGCTGCGGTTGTCCGGAAGGAAAAAATTGGGCCAAGTTGGATTCCTGAATCCCAAGGGAAGAAAGTGTCTCGGAGATGGAGGCTGGTGTGATGTGTCCGGACGAATTCGAGTCCAGCACTGAAAATGACTCTCGAAGGTTGTGAAGCAGGGCTGGTGGCAATTTCGATAATGGGTCTGCTTGACTGAGCGTTGAAGGGGTTAAGTTGGAACGTTGAGGCGGTCGACTCGAGTCTATCGATCGTGCTGCCGGACGACTGTAGGTCTCGGACGCCTTTGGTGGTTCTGGCAGCCGTCGTGCAGAAGGTGAAGGAGGAGGCTCGGTCTGCGCTCGCATATACGAACCATGATGGTTTGCAGACGATCTGGTGGGCGTGCCGACAATGTCTTCGTCCTCTTCCTCTTCCGACACGGTATATGACTGCTTGAGTTTGGATGGCGAAGTCATTGGGGATGCTCCTCGTTGTGATGGTGGGGTTGATGGACGTTCTCTGGCCGATGTTGGCGAGGAAGGCGAGCCAGGTCTGCGGAAGGGAGAGGAGCGAGGTGAGTTGCGAAAAGTAGACTTGTATATCAGCCTCGAAGGTCTGTTGAGATTGCTGATGTCAAACTTACCATGATGGCTGCGTAGCTCTTGCTGGAGCTGCAGTGGGGTGTTGATGAGCGATCCCTGACGTTGCTACGGATCCCCCCGGAATGTCGCGCAGTGCGATCGAGTAGTCCGCTCGCGTGCGAAGACGGAGAAGCAACAGAAGCCACTGAGATGAGAGGGGCGCAAGCTGTATCGTTCTTCTCGCCCTGCTTGATATGATATTGGGCTTTGAGTGTGATGGCCTGTGGAAGCGGTCATCCATGTCTTCTGTTTACAGATTCGACACCGCGGTTGCCATCGCGACCGTGGGGACCCAAACGACCGGCGCTACGATGATGATCGACCGCTAAACAAAAGCTTAGAACCGTAGCTGCCACCGAGCTTGGCAGGGGCCCCCGCTTCGAGATCCCTGCGGCTGTTGTAACTGCAACCCCTTGCGCATGCGTCTCAGGATCGAGACTGCCAGGTGCAGATCAGTCCACCTACAGATGTCGTCAATGTTCATCTACGTACAGACAGTTCGGCCTGTCCTGTAGGGCTGCGAGGGCCACTGACTGCGGTGTCATCGCAAGTCACACCGACTATTTCTCCTCCGTGCTCTGCCTCAGTTCTTCCCGCGAAACCTGGGGTCCTGCATGTTCCCGTGCCCTGGCGCCTTGAATTATCGACCATTCCTGGGTAACACACATACACGCCTGTATCGGAAGGGTCGCATGCGCCCATGGCAGCGACGCTCCCATATCGGTCTCAGCAGGGAGCCGGCTTCTCTGAACGCCCCTCTTCGCTGGGATCCAACGCTGGCTCCAAGTCCTCCACGTTTTCAAATCCTACACACCAAAAAGTGTCCTCTCAGAGTTCACTAATACCACCGTCACCCCGTGACTCTCACTTGTCGTCTCAACGCACCTCAGCCCAGAACGATGGAGGGTTTCGACCGGCAAAGCGCATCAAGTCGCAATATCCTCTCAATTCTCCTGAACCTCATGTCGAATATATACTCGTCGCCTCATTCGATATCGATAGAGGCTCCATCATGGAGCATCAGTACCCGGGTGCCATTAGCCCAGATGAGAGCATGCTTGCAGAGCTCATGTTGCCTGATCAGACACATATGCGCCAGCAGGACTGGACTATGTTCTTCCTCCACAAAGATGCGGGCGCAGGAGAAGAGGATCTCGCCGAGAAAGAAGCCATAAGACGAGAAAAACGACAACGAAGGGCTGCACGAGAAGCAGCAAGAGACTCTGGCGAGGCATTGGAAGATGAAAGCGACGAAGACAGCGACGATGAAGGCAACGAAACCCCCCCTCTGATGTACGTGCTGAATCTGGTCAATACCAAGCAGGACGCCACCGTCAAACGAGGTGCTGTTGTCAAAGCTATGGCTATCTGTACAAGGCACTCGTTCCTCCACATCTATAAACCCTTGTTGCTGCTGGCTTTGGAAGACTACATGAAGTCGCCCAACCTCGACACCCTGGAGCTGCTGTATGTGGCTCTCAATTCGATGGATGCTTCTCTTATGCCAAAGCTATCACTGCAGGAACGCCACATTCTGCAGGCCACGGATGCGAAAGACATGTTTGCCGAGAAATTCGAGCAGATGATCGTGCAGCGGCGAGAAAAAGAGGCAGCAGATACTTCCCGGCCCCAATCACCCACCAGGGCGGTGACTCAGTACAGCGTACCCCGAGACACACATGAGCTGGAGACCAAGATCATCTTCTCTGGGATACCTATCCCGGTCAAGATTCCAACTGCGCTATCACCAGAGACCGTGGGCGATTTCTCCCTCATCAAGCTGATCCAGACATTTGGCACGCCGCACTTGACTCAGCCCCAGCCATTTGCGCTGCACCCGCATCTGACGAGCTCGGGCGGATATACGCATCCAATCCTGGTGCTAATCAACGCCATGCTCACGCAGAAACGGGTCATCTTCTTAGGCCACAACATGCCCTCGGGCGATGTAGCCGAAGCAGTACTGGCGGCATGTGCTTTAGCGTCGGGAGGTGTTCTTCGTGGCTTCACGCGACATGCTTTCCCGTATACGGATCTGAGCAAGATTGATGAGCTGCTGAAGGTACCTGGCTTCATTGCTGGGGTTACGAATCCCGCGTTTTCGCATCATCCGGAATGGTGGGACTTGCTCTGTGATTTGCCCTCTGGGCGGATGAAAATCTCGTCAGCGATCGAGGCGGCGCCGTTGACCGAGGGCACGGCTTTTTTCAGCCAGTCGTCCTACTCGTTGCTGGCAAATATCGGCAAAGATGCTAGCGCAGACCCGACAGGTGATGCGTTGTTCATGGAAGAAGTTAATCGTAGCATCGCCCAGAGACATGGTGAATCAATCATACGAGCCCGATTTCGCGCCTATGTCACCAAGTTCACGCGTATCGCTGCAGCATTCGAAGAGACGGTATACGGGGCTAGCAATCTCACGGTAATTCCCGCTGAAGAGGTCGAGAATGGAGACCAACCACAGTCGTCGCGCAGCAGCGCCACATCGAAGCCGACCTCGCTGCGAACCATGGGTCGGAACTTGCGTGGACATGGCTACGTATGGCCGAGCGATGAGGCCAAGAGTCGAGAGCTGGCAGCGTCAGCAGCAAGGATAGAAGGATGGCGGAACACGCGGTCCTATTATTCCTTCATTTCAGATCTGGCCAGTCAGACGAAGACTGCCGAGTCGCCCACTTCGGAGGTCAGCATGAACAATATGCTGTTCGGTCCACCCACGAAACCGTACCTCGACATTTACCACTCCTTGTCGAAGCTGAGGGTGCTGAGGCTGACCCCGAAGGAAGCTGGAGCAATCTACCTGGCGCTAGAGAGCTACTGCACCGAATACGACAGCATCCTGGAGTTGCTCGAACTCACGCCCATGTCTGAGGCTGGGCTGTTTTACGTAGCCCTTGGTCTCTGGCACGAAGATATGAGAGTACGACACGCAGTGGCAGCATTATTGGAGCGGGTACGAAATCACCCAGCAGGGAAGGTCTTCTACAAAAGATTAGGTGGATGGGCACTGCAGGGTCATTCGCGAGCATTGCTGGAGAAAGAGAACAGAGTGGGGATGCAGGCGCAGGAGGCCGAAGATGCCTTGGGGCCGTCGAGCGGCGATTACAGGCGTAGCTAAATCTTGAGAGTCAGCGTTGATCTAGTAGGCGTGTCTGGTGTACAGCGAATGCATGACCTGAAGAAAACATGAATGTGGTGCAATCTCCAGGCATTTTTGATATCACTCAGATACCAACGAACCGGATCTTCAAGTCTTGTTGCTGCCGGTCTCGAGAAAGGTCGGAAGGCCGGGCGAACCGAAGAGGCGTTGAACGGACGAGGCGTGGTCAGGGGTAAAAGAAAGTGTCGATAGGGTCAGAGGATCCGGAGGAGTGCCAAGACCGAGCAGGCAATTTCGAGCGCAGGTGGAGACTTGGCCAGATGGCGTTCCGCACTATTGAACACTGGCCTGCCTTCTCTCCCACGGCCATCGATCATCGATGTCTTCTCCGTGCTTGTCTGCCTTGGCGTGAGACACACGACAAAGCCAGCAGAAGCGAGATACAAGTGTGCACCAAAGCACACACCATCAACCAGCATCCAGGGGTAGCGAGTCTCGACCCTCGAACCAGCCACCGACCACTGTTTCGTGCTCAGTGCGCATTCTCAGAGCTCGAGCAGAGACAGTGTGCTGCTCGAGCTGCAATCAGGTCCAGCTGTCAATGACGATCCGAGGCTGTCAAAGACCATGTGTATGGCACCGGAACATTCGACTGCGAATAATAATAACAATAATCTATCGAACGTTCGTTAAACCAGGCGCCCGTGGCTTGGGTGGAATGTCGAATGGGCTCGACCCGTGGCACCCCTGTCAAAAGCATCCACATGCCGAACTCCACATGGTTGAAGGCGAACTGTACGGTCTGGTTGGTCCTCCCCGTCGTTTGCTCACTGTGGCGCTTGCTAGTCCATCCATCGCTCTCGAGCAAACGTTGAAATATCCTTGCCTATCGATCTTGTTACCGTTGATGGCGTGTCGGCTCAATCCCTGTTTGGGTAGCCTACTTTCTATCACGAATGGAGGCACCTGGGGACCTTGGCTCTCATTCTTTCTCTCATATACCCATGTCGCCCTACCGACAATAATAGTGTGATCTACATTCCACTTCAACAACCTTTGTTGCGGGAGATCAACACCAAAGATCAACAGAAGATCGTCAGCATTGTCCCAAGGATCTACTTGGTCTCGACCACGTCCATTTTCGCACACAATGGGATACTGCTGAACCACTGCTTTCAGCACCTCAACTCACCCAAGTCATTCGTTAACCAACACCCACACTCGTTTGAAACAAAGACATCCAGCTCAGCGCGAGCACAGACCCAACTACAGTCATTCTTTCTACATCGGTGCAGTCGAATCCAGTCCTTCCGGGATCAATACGAATAATCAACTGCATCCAACGAGGCCGCCGTGGCTCTCTTAATCCCCGCAGAATGCACACACAGAGACCACATCCAGCACGGAGGCGATTCTTTGCCCTCCTCATAATCACGCTTGGCCTCCTAATACCCTCCACCACCGCCCATGCTGATACCCAAGACCTCTTCGAGTCATATGCCACCCGCGGTGAAATACACATCGACACAGCTCTCCTGCATCGACGAGCAGCCCTATCCTCCGAGCCCCTTGCCACAGCCTCATCGCCAGTCTCGCCATCCTCCGCAACCTCTGCCACCGCCTCCGGCGATGTCGCCCTCCCAGCACCCTTCGACACCTCGCTGGGCTCCAACTTCACCGCCTCAACCTGTCCCACCTTCTTCAACTCCTTCCTCACCAACAGCACCTTCTCACAATGCACACCCCTCAGCCTCCTCCTCCAAAACAGCCAAGGCTTCATGGCGGCGCAACGCGCCCCCACACAACTCAAAGCCATCATGGACGCCGCGTGCGCAGCCCCCATCTCCATCTGCGCCGCCACCATGACCGACATCGCCCGCCAACTCACTCTCGACACACACTGCGGCGCCGACTTCCGCGCCCGCCAACCCCTCGTCATTCAAGCCTACAACGGCCTCCTCGGCTACGAGGCCGTCGCCACCTCCACCTGCCTCAAAACCACAAACTACAACGGCACCGCCGCCCCCTCCACCTCCCTGCCCGACGATGACGACGACAAAGCCGCCCAATACTGCTTCACCGCCGCCCTCACCAACCGCGCCAGCCCCTCCGACCCCTTCCCCTACTACACGGCCATCGGCATGAACCTGCCCTCCGTCGCCACGCCCACCTGCAACGGCTGCCTGAAAGCCGCCATGCAGGTTTTCGCGCAGTGGGCCGTCAAGAGCGAGCAACCCCTGAGCATGACGTACCTGGCCTGCGCGCAGACCGTCGACGCCGTCTGCGGCGCCGGCTTCGCTGACACCAACGTCAAGGTTGGCAGCGTCAATAGCGGCTCCGGCATGAAGAACACGCAGCCCGAGCAGGTCAGTGCGGCGTCGGCGAGAGGCGGCGTGAGGTCTGCGGCGGTGTGGGGCGTCGCGGGCGCGGCTCTGGCCGCTCTGGCGGTGCTGTGATGCATCGACATCGAGCATTGATTGCCGCATGTGGTTTTCTGGCCTAGCTCTGCATCGGCATCAAAGCACACACACTACACACGTATATATATGTATATATATTTGATGACTTAGCGTTGGCGCGCTCGAGGTTTTGGAAGAAAATTATTCTCGTTTTGGTTTCTATATATATATACACACACGGTTCATGATACGACCATCATCTGAGGATCAGCACTCGACTTTTATAGGGCACAGGGCATGGAGCACAGAGCACAGGGCGGTATTGGTTTTGGTCGGGGAAAAGGGGGGGATATGTAGATAGGTAGCCTCTTATGCTTCTCAAAGACAAAGACTCCAGTTTCTGGAAAAAGTGCACGAAAACGTAGGGGTTTCATGCTGGTGCGTATCTGTATCCCTATCTGCAATGTGCAGCATGCTTTCGGCACGTCTCTTCTCATCTGCGGAATGGGCTCTGCGCGCGGGACTCGCGTGGCCCGCCACCCACCCACGCAACAGCATCGCTTTATTCTAAACTCGCTGGCAAGACTGGCTGGCTACAGCTTCGCCCTGAGTCACCGATCCACCACGTTCCTAAGGCTCTGACCCGCGCGGAACCGGCGGAGATTGTCTGCCACGAGGGCCTCCGCGCCCTGGGGCCTTCCTCCTGCGGCGTGGGGGCTGATGATGATGTTCTCAATGGCCCAGAATCGGCTGGATTCTGGCAGCGGCTCTGTCTCGAACACGTCGAGCGCGGCGCCGGCGATCTCGCCGTTTTGTACGGCGTTCGCCAGGGCGTCTTCGTCGACGGAGGTGCCGCGGCCGACGTTGACGACCCACGCGTGCTTGGGTAGTAGCTTCAGGCGGTCGGAGTTGAGGGCGTGTTTCGTGCTGTCGCTGCCGGGCAGGATCATGACAAGTGCGTCTGTTTCGGGCAGGAGCTCGGGTAGTTTGTCCTCGCCGTAGACCTCGACGCCGTTGTCGACGCGCTGGCTGCGAGCCACGCCCTTGACGGTTGCTCCAAGTGAGGTCAGGTGAGGTGCCAGAGTTTTGGCGATGTTGCCGTAGCCCCAGATCAAGACGCGGGCGTCGCGGAGCGTCGTGAAGCTGCCAGCGGGGCGGTCCGGTTGCGGCCCGCCGAGGTGGCCAGGCCACTTGGACTTGAGCTGGTGATCGCGCATTGAATGCAGGCGGCGGGCACAGGATAAGAGCATGGCCAGTGTGTGCTCGGCTACGGTGAAGTCGTGGAGGCCGCTGCCTGTGGTGACTTGTATGTGTGAGGGGAAGCCAGCGTTCAGGACGTCGTTGGGACCGGCGGCCAGGGACTGAATCCATTTCAGCGAGGTCAGCTTGGAGGCCGCGTCCTTGAGGTTGTCGGCCGTGTTGGTCCATGTGACGAGGACTTCGGCGTCATAGTGCTCGGACGGGATGGGCTGCTTGACATCGTATGGGACAATGTCGACCGAGAAGCCTTCGAGAGATTTGGTGTCGAGCACGAGGGATGTCGGATAGAGGAGCTTCATGGTGTGGATTGGGTCAGGGAATTGGACGATGAGTGTACTTCAAGCAAGGAGATAGTGACGTTGGAAAGGTTCTGCCGACGAAGATATATTTGCCTACCGTCCGGCGTCGGCGTTCACAGCGCCAATCAAGAATCAATAACCGGGCGACGAGATGTGGGGGAGTTGGGGAGAACGAGTCGAGTGGGGCAGCAGAAGCAGCAGCGGCTGCACGTCGGCAACTGACGAGCAAATCTCTTGGCATCAAACCTAGTCGCGAGGGGGGTCTCGATTGCCGCTCACGGTAAAGCCATCCCCAAATTGTCATCTGCTCGTCAAGCATGTCGTTTGCATTCGGCTTCGCTGGCGACGACATAGAAGCTGACGACCATGACATGCTCGATGCCGAGCCTGAGGGCGAAGCCTCAGCCAAGGCTGCGCAAGACCTCGTCTTGCCCAAAATGCACACCCTAGCAGATCTGGTGAGTCTCATGCACGCAAGGCTCTGGCCCCTGATGCCTCCCAGAACCTCGATGATACCGCCTGCGTAGTAGCTGTAGTCGCAGAAGAGTACTGATCCTTCCAGCTGTCCAATCTGCCATCCCAAATTTCATACAACACCCTCTCAATACCGCCCCACCCTAGCAACACCATCGCACGTCGCTCGCTCTTCGACATCCGCCAGCAATTGATGGCCGAGTCATCAAGTGCCAACTCCAACGACGCCCTGATTGCCAATCTATCCTCTGGCGACCTCAGCTCCGGGACCTACGAAGGCGGATTCAAAACCTGGGAATGTGCGCTAGACCTGGCATCACTCCTTTCTGACCCCAGCTTCGCAGGTCCCACAACTCCCGGTGACAAGGACAACACACCACTGCACGTAATCGAGCTAGGCGCTGGCTCTGCCATTCCCAGCTTAGCCGTGCTACGGCAGTGCCTGTCCGCCGATACACATACTTCACCACTCAACCTCACGCTCTGCGACTACAACGAAGACGTTCTGAAGCTATGCACTGCGCCAAACGTTTTCCTCAACTGCCATCTCATTCAACAGCAACAATCCATTCCAGAGACGAACGCACCAGAGCGTGACCACGACCTCGACCTCGAGCCCCTCACCACCTCCATCCCCTGCCTAGCCGAGACGCTCAAGACCGCCAACGACATCGACGTCGCCTTCGTCAGCGGCGCCTGGGGCCCCTCCTTCTTCTCACTGCTCAAATCCAGCTTGGCGCCGACATCCACAACGGACCAGCAACCTCCACCGACCAGGATCTTGATCCTGGCCTCCGAAACCATCTACTCGCCCGCGACGCTGCCGGACTTTGTGGGCACCACCATCTCGCTGCTCAGTCTGGGCGCGGAGGGCAGCCGGGCGCTGGTGGCGGCGAAAAAGGTGTATTTTGGCGTTGGGGGTGGAGTGGCGGAGTTTGAGAGGGAGGTGGCGGAGAGAGGAGCTGGGGTGCGGACGGTGTGGCATTCGGGGGATGAGGGTGGGGTGGGGAGGGTGGTTTTGGAGGTTTCGTTGCAGCGGTGACGCGAGGCTGGTGTGTACTATCATCGAAAGTATACGAGATGGAGTGGCATGATCGTGGATGATGGAGGGCTTTGTTGGTAGACATTGAAAGCATTTAGACGCGGAGCTCTGCGATCAGAGCGATGATTCTATCATGATTGGAGCAGGTCAAGCCTGAAGAAAGTATCACAGGTGGCTCCCAGGACATGCAACCCGACACGGGAAGAGTGACCCTGTCACCAGATCCCTTCCCTCCAACGCATCCCAATAGTTGTACAGCACCAATTTGATGGATTGAGTAATAAACCAAGCTCCCAACTCCCACCTTCCCAAGATCTCCAAATGCACCGTCATCCAATGGCCACGTAGACACCATCATCTACTGCTGAAAGAAGTCATCCCCAACGTCATGCATTGACGGCAACCCGAAATCATAGCCCCCAAGCCGAAAGTTCTGCATCGCCGCTGGCGCCGACCTCAGCTGCTGCTTCTCCGCCGTCTTCCCACCCTGCTGTCCTCGCCCCAACACCTGACCGGCATCAAGCAATGTCTGCCCAGCAGCATCCGCCGCGCTGGCACCGGCACCGGTCATGGCCACATCACCCGCAAACCCGCCGTCCGGAGGTGCCGCGTACTGCACTTCCTCGACGCGTCCACTCCACTCGTTGCGCCACGCGCGCTCAAGGATCTCCACCATGCGGTCGCGCTGCTCGGGCGTGGCGAGGTAGTCGCAGGGCAGGTTGGCGATGGGGTTCACCGAGAGAGACGAGTCGCTTTCGTGGAAGGGGCAGAGGCGCTTGCCTTTGATTGCCTGCGGGCGCGGATTGTTAGTGCTTGTCGTGAGTCGGGCTGGAGGAGAATTGCGGGTTCTAAGGGGGATGAGGAGTGCTTACCGTTTCTTCGGTGCCAAGCTGAGAGCATTTCGCGCAGATGAGTCCGTCGGCGGTGCGTCTTGCGCCGAGTACAAAGTGGTAGTGCACGCAGGTGCCTTGGTTGCGGCACTTCTTGGCGCAGCGGTAGCGTTCGAAGGTGATGCCGGGCTGCATGATGTTGAGGGTTTGTGTGGTGAGTGCCGGGTTGGGATGGACGGGCCGTACCGCTGGCATGTATAGACCAGAGGGTAAGTCCGGCGCTGGTACTTCGACGACGGTACCCTGAGGAAAGTCATTGTTGGTGAGGTAAACTTTGACGCGATTGGCTGCTGCATCGGAGGGTGGTGGTGATGATAGGCGGCGCTTCTGGCCAGCCATTGTGGACACACGAGGAGTTGCAGGCGCGGAAGAGTCGAGTTCGAAGTCGGCGTTGGGGAAGGCTTGAGTTGGGGTAGGCATCATTGATGTGTCAACGTCATCAACGGTTTCGCCAGGGCCAGAGGGTCGTACTCGTTTATGGCCGTTGTTGATAGAGCTTGTATTCTCGGCAGCTTTGTCTGCGTTGATTTGAGCTGTCATTCTTCGGACTATCTCCAAGTGGTGGGCTTGGGCATCTTCGGCCATGGCGGATTCGCAAACGAGGTTTTCGAAGCAAGCTCAACACTGCTTGGTATGGAAACAGTTGGACAAAGGACAAAGAGGACATACAAACGCTGCTGAGCGATGGTTGTGTGGCAAGAAGAAACTGCGGACGTGTTTGCGAGCGATGACAGTTGCTGGGTACCAACGGCAGTAGGAAGTGTGCCAAGGCTCACGAGGCGGGCATCACCTCTCCGTGAATATCAGAGTGAACAGGGGGCTGGTGCCTGCTCTTTGAGCGTCACAGTGAAGACAGATGGCCGACCGAACGTCACCACCCCTGGACATCTTCACCAACATCAGTGTGAAGTACCAGCCCTGCATGATTAGTTACAACCGTCGACTTCTTACCACTCTTTTTGGTTCCGCCCTACTGACGGTCTTCGTGTGCTCATCAACTTCCAATTCACCTTGTCCAGAAGACTTACCTTCAACGAACGACTCGACCCTAGGCACTATCTCCGCCAACTTTCTGGGCCAAGCCGCCATGTCCGATTCCAACAGCAACTTGGCCAAGGGCGAGGAGGTCAAGGGAAAGGAGGCATACAGAGCTGGTGACGATGGACCTCCTCAGGGATGCAGCATGCACAAGTGCCCGTCGACAGCGTCGTTTCGCACTGCCACCCCAGATTCAACATTCGGCTTTCCTTTGCAGCAGACGATGCGTGCATCAACTCGAGATCCGGCTCCCGAGCTCAAGAAATGCGCGTCTTCAGCCTCTGTTTCCACGATGATTCCAGAGCCAAGTTCCGGCCACGTGCTTTGTCGGGTCCCAAAGCACGCCGAGAAGCGGAAAGGGTCTGAGATTCACCCAAACTCACCCACGAAAAAGCTGAAGGAACAGCAAGCCACTTCGGAAAGGGGCGAGTCGGAGTCGAGCGAGCAGATGTCGAAATCAAATTGAACCATCCGCTGTCAATCGTCAACGAGAGGCCTTGTACGACAATGATCTAAGATAAGCTTGCGGAAGCTGAAGAAGGACAGAGCAGGTATGTTCAGTGGGCCATGACGGGGGCAGCATAGAACAGACCCATCGCGACCAGATCTTATGAGGCTGTAGGAGCAGCACTGCTGTTACGAACGAGGTTTCGAGCATGTCCTCAACACTCAGACCATTCGAATTCGAGTCCTGGGGGCACCGCAGACGCCGTGGCAGTCATGAGGTGGCAGTGATGAGGTTGACATAGGGGACTGGGATCCACTTTTGGCCATATGTGATTGGCTGATCTGACCTCCCCAATGACGAGGCGCAGTTTGCCTGCAGCTCAACTTCAAGGCAGACACGTATCGTACCACAATCCCTCTCGCTTTGTCATACACATCTCCTCAGCCTGATAAGAGCCTCTCTATATCTTCTCATGCAACTCGATTCTCATCGTCGTCAATTTTCCGGTAGCTGGCCTATCTTCGTTCCAGCTGCAGCCACACCCCATACCGACAGTCTCCCCGCCCCTTCCACTACCTCAATCAACATGCCTTGCCGCTGGTCTCACCCCCGATTCTCCATGACTTTCGCGAGCCCAGACCCAGACGCGAGCCCTGCGGCCGGCGCCCTCGATGCGTATACCGCCAACCGCCGCACTTATCTGTTTCTTCTCCGCCGCCAGACCCGTCTCCTGATCTTCCTCCTCGCAACCCTCGAAGCCGTTTGGCGTGGCCCCGTTGAGATCGCCTTCAGCAAGAACTTCGACCCTAGCATCGACCATGGCTTCGTTTATACTGTTGGCTACATCCTGAGCTATATCTACACATGCGTCTTTGTCGTTGTATGGGGTGCTCTTTTCGAGTGGTGGGTTCCTGTCTCATCTGAGCCATCGCCCACTCTTGAGTCTGTATCATCCATCCTGAACAGCATCAATATGTGCCTCATCCCCACCGCTATCGGCATCACTCTTGCTATGTGGGGCATGATGGTGGCTTTCACTCTCGTCGCTAAGCACACCACCCCACTGGTCCACACCTCTCGTGCCCGCCAGCTCATTGCCATCGCCTGCACCACAGCATGGTCCACTGCGTTCGGTTATTTCGCGCTGGAGCACCTCTCGCGTGTCGGCGTCGCTCGCGTTCGCTGGGAGATGGATGCTTGGGTTTTGCTGCCCATCGCCGTCAATATTGGCATTGCCATCGGGACTGCTATGATCAGCAAGCTGGAGCGCAAGCGTATCGCCCGCGCAGAGGCACACGACCACGACACCGAGCGTGCCATCTCCGTCCAGGAGTTTCTTGCTGAGGAAAAGCGCCCACTTATGGACGTCTAGGTCAGAGCCGATCAGCATGCCTGATCAAGATGAGCTGAATACCGAATGCCTCAGGCTCGATGGAAAGCCTTGATGGATGCTTTGATGAGCCGGACGCCAGTTCATTGCTTCGAAGCTTGCGTAGATCCAGTCGCGGCAAGAGCGTTGCAGCGCTGCTCAACAATCGACTATTGTGTCACTTAAGGTGTGGCAAGCTTACATGCCTTTGCCAGACACAAGATAGGTATGGGACGTACTTATCGCCCCTGCTATGGAGGACCATGCGGGAGTAGGAGTCTGTGGCTTCTACTTGATTAGGTCGATCACTCATTGGCGTCATCTGAGATGAATCAGCACTCATAGCTAGAGCCATGAGGCTTTTCTGTACACCTATTAAGCAATTTTGCAATGTCTGACTGCCTAGAAACTGTACGTATCAGCTTCGAACTGATTCTTCTGTACTGAATGCTGTCCGAGCTCGGTACCGAGACATTCTACGTTACTCATCGGGGTAGTTCACTGGCCAATTATGTTACTTCACAAACCGTCCAAGGGCAGTGGCCCAAATGCTTCAGCTTCTCGGCCGACTCTTCTTGGCACTCCACGATGTATAACTTGCGCAGCAGCAGCACCGTTGGCACTGCTTCCAGTCAACTATACAAAACACGAACAGCTCTTAACAGCGATTAACAGCCAAACAAGGGCACGAGTTGCCCACCTGCACTGAAACATGGTAGCAACGGCCACCGAGACAAGGAGCTCCCCACCTCCCCAATCCGCCCAAGCTCAGCTTTTCCACCTCTTCTCGCGCACTCTCCCAGCAAGCTCGAGCCCGACCGACCTCTTCACCGCCCGCGCCCTGTACGACCAACTCTTCACCCTCGCGACCGAAGTCCCCGGCGTGAGCTACCGCACTACGACCATCGCATCACGGCCTGCCCTCTGGGTCCATCCACCCCCGCCCACAACGTCCAACACTGGTAGCCAAACCCCCACAGCAACCAACACCTTGGCGCCCAAAACCCCCACCCCAGCAGTTATCCTCTACTTGCACGGCGGCGGTTTCTCCCTGGGTAGCCCCAACTCACACCGCCTCATATCCGCCCACCTCTCCCTCCATACCCACCTGCGCGTGCTCTCGCTAGACTACCGCCTCGCGCCCGAGCACCCCTACCCAGCGGCCCTAGACGACGCCGTCGCCGCCTACCGTGCTCTACAGACCACCTACCCCTCCGCCAAGATCGTGCTGGCCGGCGACTCCTGCGGCGGCAACCTCGTGCTTGCGGTCGCGCTGCGTTTGCAGCGAGATAACAGTGGGGCTAGAGAGCCTGCGGCAGGCGTAGCGTTGAGTCCGTGGTTCGATCTGACGGCGCAGGAGCGCGAGGGCGGCAGCTTCGCGGAGAATGCGGATGGGGAGAAGCCGCGGGATGAGATGAGCGGGCGGGCGGCGATTGCGGCGTTGGTGGAGCGGTATTTGCGTGGGACGGGTGTGCAGGCGGGGCAGGAGGCGCTGGTGAGTCCACTTTATGCTACGGAGGAGGACTTGAGGGCGCTGGGCGGCATGCCGCTATGGGTGAGTGTGGGTGGGTGGGATGCGTTGCGGGATCAGGGGGACGGGATGGTGCGGAGGCTGGAGGGAGCGGGGGCCGATGTGGTGTGTGAGAGGCATGAGGAGAGCTTGCATATTATGGAGATGCAGGCTGGGAGGGCGGAGGCCGCGGACGAGTCGTTGCGTAGGATTGGGGCGTGGGTGCGTGGGAAGCTGGGGTTGGATGTGGTGAAGGTGTGAGGATTTTGTTTGGGGAGGGAGACCGGGCTTTCTTGATAGATGTCGTACTGGGAATAGGGGATCTTGAACGTGCTTCCGTATCGGAGACTCAAGTTCCATGTCGACGATGCAGTCAATGATAGATGCAAGCTTTCATGAATCATGACTCTACCGTTGTAGCTGCCATGCCGAAGTCTGTTCTCAGAAACCGGTCATGGCGTGGTGCCAATAGACTGTACGTAGCTGGCTGGCCTAAATATTTCCGACAGAAGAATAGATATAGTCCTTCACCGTTCTCAACTCCCAATATCGTCCGACATGGCCCCAGAGACTAGCACAGTCCACTGCTCGCCCAACGCTTCCGTCGAGAAGGCCCGGCCACCATGCCCACCAGCCGAGTCATCACCGCCGTCCGAAAGCCCTTCCGGCATGACAAAGATAGACCGTCCTACAAAAGTCAGTGCCCATCAACTGCCTGAGGGAGGAAACACTCACCATAGGCGCTCTCATCCGTCGCGAGGCGCGCCACCGCCTCCACGACCTGTCCCACAGCAGTGACCGGAATCCCCAGCTGCTGTAGCACGGGGATCGCATGTCCCGTCATGGGCGTATCGACGTAAAAGGGGCAGACGGCATTAAGCCGCACATTCATGCCGGCAAGCTGCTTGCGCATGCCACGCAGAAGGCCACGGATGCCAAACTTCGTCGTCGTGTACTCGACCGAGCCCTCGGCGCCGGTGTACCCGGCGAGGGAGGAGACTAGCACGATGCTCTTGGCCGGCTCGGGCTTGGGGGTCTTGTGCAGTCCCAGTCCGTACCTGGCGACGAGGAGCGTGCCGATGAAGACGCCGGTCAGGTTGATGCCGATGAGGCGGCCGGAGAGGTCGTCGGCCGGGATTCCCAGGTTGGCCAGCTCGCTGGGCGGCGCGGGGGAGACTTGCGTCGGGGGACCAAGGACGCCGGCGCACGGCACGAAGATGTCGATTTCGTTGCGTGGCAAGAAGTCGAGAGCCGTGCGGAGGAAGGCTACTTGGGAGGCGAATGATGAGACGTCGACGTGGACGAACTTGATTCTGAAGGGTTCAGTGGAGGGGGCTTTTCGACGGATATCAAGCGTACTTGGCCTTGCTGGAGAGTTCTTTCTCAAGAGCAGCACCTAGACTCTCCTGGACGTCTCCGACCACGATGTTGGCACCATGGTCGGCAAACATATGCACCATGCCTTTCCCCAGACCCGATGCTCCGCCCGTGATGAGAACATTGCGGTCTTTGAGGGCAGCATAGTTGACTGCTGTTTTCAGATCGATCAGTCCGGTGGAAGGCATCTTGCACGCTTGAGAAACGTACTCTGACCTGTAATTGCGGCGTTGAATAATAGATCATCCAAACAAGAGGGGCATCGACCCCGACTTTGAGATACGATGTGACCCCGGATTTCGTATTTGCGGGGAAAAGTCAGTTTCTCGTAGTACTAGTAGTCTCCAGCTGCCTCGGCAGACCCCAGGTCTGGGCCTTTAGTGCGGATGGTAAAGGAATAGGCCGACGGCAAAACGCAAGTTGATTCGGCATTGAATGTGCCTGCTGTAACTGCAAGTGAGCACTAACGCTACCCACCCCCAGCCAGCGGAACCAACACGGAATACGGTCCAAGGGGTGTAACACAATCGCGACACCTTTTTGATAGCCTAGCAAGATTCTTATTCCTGTGCAGCATGCAGAAATCTGAGGACGGGACATTGCAGTCTGTCTTAAGAAGGTTCGCATAGTGTAATGAGAATACAAAACTTCTTATGTGCGACCTTGAGTCACCCGTTCATCGGCATCGCGTTCGAACCTCACCTGCTTTCAATGTGCGTGAGAAGTATTGCTGCTGCAGCACTTCGCAAGTCAAGCCCCCGATGTGTGTTTCCCGGTGCACAGCTGACAGATTGGAAGGCTCCCGTACTAAAGGGATTGAGGAGCAGCGTAAATCATCTCGCATGCCAGACGGAACGGAGGATGTAATCAAGGAAGCGTGATAGTCGCGGTAGCTCCAGAGACACATGTAGATAGTTCAAAGAGATGTCACTTTGAGAACACGGCTTAAAGTATCAAATGGTACTTTTTCAGAAGACTGACAAGGGTTCGTTTTGGACAAATCGTTAGCATCCGTAGTGTCTATACTTGCACTATGACTTGACTCCCTCTGCGGCATGGGATTATGTCTTCTCGACTGGTGATATTGCCGATAGTCTCGCCGTTGTGAAAGAATCTACGAAATGTTGAGTCTTGCCCATGTTCATGATTGATGGCACCAAATCTGGTTCACCGTTGTATCGTACTGACTAACCACTACCAGCGAACCGCTGCTGGCTAGTCCACAGCCAAAATTTCGTCCACTTCTTGCAAGGCTGCTGTGCTGCCATAAAGCAAAAAAGCAAAAAGAACGAAGGAATGTGCTCCCATAATAGGAGGTCTCGTGGACCCATGTACTAAGTTTGATAGTACAACTCCTCCTACTGAGAGATCTTTCTTTTTGGCTTCTTATGGCATCTTTCCCTTTTTGAGTTGAAGCATTCCTCCCCGAAAACTACCTGTTGCAATTAATTGCGTTGGGCGTAAAGCTTTCAGTGGCAACGACTCCGACCCCAGGGCTTAATGGTTTTCTCCTGCCTGGTTTTCTTGTGTAGGTCTGTGCGATTGTTGGCAGAGTTTTCCGATTTTCCCACATATATGGTTGCTAGGCAGAGTGGCTGGGGCTGGCAGCCTGCAGAGTGGGTTTACGCGTGTAGTGAATGTACTGTGTCAGGCGGCAAGGCGACGAGGCTCAGGGGGCAGCTTGGATGTCTTGGCACGGCGCACACGCATCGCCCACTGGTGATGTATTTGAATGATTTTGATTCAGATTGCCTTCAAACGGCAGGCTGCAGTAGGATGCAGTTTTGAATTTGGACTTCCTAGCGCGCTCCTGGCAATCTAATGGTACGTTTTGATCCAAGCACCTCATCCCTGTACGGCGGTGGTAGGGACAAGCTCCGACCAAGCTGTGGGCATGCGGATGACTGCTCGCCCTTTCGTCACTTTCTTCGGTCAATGCCAAACGATGAGAAGTGTGCAGATGCCGTCGAATGCAGCCATAACGAACTTGACCTACAATTGTGATACCTTCCGCCTCTGAGCCGGGAAAGCGATTGATTGACCGCCGAGGAAACCCCCACGAGCGTCACCAAGTACGCATGGCTGACGACCACGGGAGATGAGCCGCTTATCACCCTCTAATACGCCGGCGGCTGGTGTCGAAGCCCATGCTCGTGGTGTGCTCGTGGTGGATCGGACAGCTCTGAACAGTATGCTGTGCCACATTGATTGTAGGGATCTGCTACATCCATTCAGGAATTCCGCAGGGAGAACTAATCTCTAGGCAGGTGATTGGCTGAACATCCTAGGTCTAGATATGTTGTTGGTCTAGCTCGAACTGAATGAGGCATTTTCGCAAAGCCTCTACCTGTGCCAAGCTCCGTCTTACCGGACACTACCACGGCATGTTCCAATGCTTTGATGAACCTCTTTCAGAGACACATGGTGTGCTTCTTCCGCAGGCTGCACCACTCGCTGCGCAATCAACGGATTAAAAGTCTTGCGCTTCGTTCTAAGCATGTCTGCAGTACGCATCGCCAGTGATGCTTATACCAAAGACCATTTGAGCCAGGGCGAGGCCACTCAGCCTCGCATCGATGCCGGCGTCGAACATCGTCGCCGACCGAAAAACTTCAATACTGCTGAGAGTGCAGATGGGATATACAACATTCGGTCCAGGACCGCGGGTCCTCAACTGCACAAAGAAGCCATCTCGCGATTCCAAGACGATGACCCAGGCCTCCGCCGAGAGACGGATTTCAAACAGAAGCAGGTAATTTAGCAGCTCGTAACATCCGCAAGAACCAAAAGTTGAACGGCAGCAGGAATTCAGCGGCAAAGTCCTACTTTGGCTCGCATATCAGTCCATGGGTGTCATCTACGGAGACATCGCCACCAGCCCCCTCTACGTGTACTCTTCGACGTTCTCGTCTCCGCCAAGTCGGGAAGATCTGATCGGTGTCCTGTCGTTGATCATCTGGTCCTTGGTGATGATGGTCACGGTCAAGTACGTGTTCATCATCCTACGGGCCGATAACAACGGCGAGGGAGGAACCTTTAGTACCTACTCCCTCCTCAGTCGATACGTAAGGCTTCCCCTCCCATTCAACCTTGTCCTTGAGTTATTAAACTTCCTAGCTGAACATTACGAACCGCGACCCAAGGGAAGCTTCTCTGATTGAGATGAAGCGTTATGTGTCAGGAGATCTTGAGAGCGCAGGACGTCATATGCGACGTGGTCTCGAATCGAGCAAGTTTGCCCGAGTGCTCCTCCAGGTCATCGGCGTCTTGGCTGTCACGATGGTCATGTCTGACGGTCTGCTCACTCCAGCCCAGTCTGTCTTAGGCGCGGTTCAAGGCATTGAAGTCGTGGATCCTTCCATATCCAGAGGCACCATCATCGGCGTCACTGATGCTATACTCGTCGCGCTCTTCGCGCTTCAGCCGCTGGGTATTACGAAGATCACTGTCGCCTTCTCGCCGGTCGTGCTGGTTTGGTTGGGGTTCAATGCCGTCTTTGGCATCTACAACCTGGTCAGATTCGACGCCGGTGTTTTCGAAGCCTTTAATCCTGGCTACGGCTTCCTGTTCCTCATTCGTCACGGCGAAGAAGGGTGGAGGAAACTCGGGGGCGTTCTTCTTTGTTTCACCGGACTTGAAGCCTTATTTGCAGACCTGGGTGCCTTCAGTCGCAGAGCTGTGCAGATCAGCTGGCTCTTCTATACCTTCCCTTGCCTTATACTGGCCTATGTCGGCCAAGCAGCCTATATCAGCGTTCATCCTGAGGCGTACGACAATCCTTTCTTCAACGCTGCCCCACCTGGAACGATCTATCCCGCTCTAGTCATTGCAATATTGGCTGCCATCGTTGCTTCTCAAGCAATTGTTACGGCAACTTTTCAGGTCGGTGCCCAACTGGAAGCAAAAGCTTACCTTAGAGACTGACACTCTCACAGCTACTAGCACAAGTCATGAAGCTCTCCTACTTCCCGCAAATCAAGGTCGTCCACACCTCAGCTACATTCCACGGACAATTGTACATCCCAATGGCAAATGTGCTTATGTGCATCGGAACGGTCTTGGTAGCTTCGATATACAACAACACGACCTCCTTGGGTAACGCATATGGAGTGTGTGTCATGTTTGTGACCTTTTTCGACACCTGCATGGTCACGCTGGTGGCCATATTCGTGTGGCGCATCAGGATCTATCTCGTCGTCCTCCCATTTCTGGTCATCGCTCTCATGGATGGCACATTCTTGTCCGCAGCCTTGACCAAGGTGCCTGTGGGCGCATGGTTCACCATCATGCTTTCCGGAGTCCTGGCTCTTTTCCTTCTTCTATGGCGGTTCGGCAAGGAAAAACAATGGTTAGCAGAAGCCGAAGACAGGTTCCCGACATCACACTTCGTCACACAGAACGAAGACGGCACCCTTTCACTGTCTGATCGCCTGGATGGGACACCAATCAGTTCCATGAAAGGATTTGGAATCTTCTTCGACAAGGCGGGCGAAACGACGCCGACGGTGTTCAGTCAGTTTGTCCTCAAGCTGACAGCAGCACCCGAAGTCACCATCTTTTTCCACCTGCGACCACTTGAGACGCCTTCAGTGGAGCCTGAGGATCGCCATACCGTCTCCCGCCTCGGGATCCCAAACTGCTACCGTCTCGTGGTGCGGTACGGGTACAACGACGAAATCATCACGCCCGATCTGGCCCATATCATCTACAACCAAGTGCGCCAATACTTGCTGGCCGAGGAGGAGCCCAAAGAGCATATGACCTCTGACGACCGAATTGACACAGCCATGGCCGGCGAGAAAGACCTCGGTGTCAAGATCGGGGTCGCGCAACCGCCAACCACCAACAACAAGGGTGATGGAGCCGTCACACCAGGTTCCCACGAGAGCAGCAGTACTAGTGCTACTACCAGGCTTGAAACGCTCGACCGCGCGTACGCGCACAAAGTCCTCTACATTGTTGGAAAGGAACAGATGAAGATCAGGCCGGGGACGAATTACGTCAAGTACTGTCTGCTGTGGGCTTTCCTGTGGGTGAGGGAGAATACCCGGACGAAAATGGCCAACTTGAAGGTGCCGGCTGAGAAGCTCATTGAGGTGGGATTCTTGAAGGAAATCTAGAACGGTGCTTGGAGAGGGGGGTTGGCAGCAACCTTAGATGCCTTGGTCACGGCTGCACGGATTTCGCAGAAACGCAAACACAGTAGACGAGCTGACATTCGATTGCAGCATTATACAGGTTTGTTGATATCATAAAGAACATCTGTTCTTATGATGTATTTTGCCCCGGACCTTACTCCTGAGCCTTCATGAAGAAGCGCACCTTTACCTTCGCCATGAGGGAAAATCGCGGCCGCGCCTGCCACTGGTTTGACTGGATATGCATTCATAACCCCGTCGTGTATACTTGGCATGAAGAAGGTTGTCTCCCCCGCTTCGAACTCGTCGTTGAGATAGAGAAGAAAGGTGTACAGTGATGATTGCTTGGCGGTCGCTGGAGACGCATCGTAGATATAGGTGTCGTCCACGGGATTGATGCCAGATGGAGGCCAGGCACCATCGATATGGCATCGATATTCTGCGCCTGGAACATACCGGTAAACCCTGAATCGTCGATTGAGCCCACGGACAAGCCTTCCATCTACCTGCTCGGGTACATGGGGCTTCACTCTCTGCCATAACCTTGCAGCGAATGACTCGTCGACGATCCAATAGAAATTGTGGGCCAAAACGCTCACGTCCTCGCGCGAGCTCATGATCGGTGCGTCCGGGGTAAATCCCACAGTCTGAGCTGCAGCAATGATGCTGCAGCACTCAGAACTGAACAGAACGTCTTTGATAAGGGAAAGATGGGGCACAACTGGGTGATGATGGATGCTCGTGGGCGGCGTATCATTTGAAAGTAATATTGCGTCATCTCGACTGGCATGAAGAATGGCAGGATGGAGGTTCGGTGGCTTCCGTTGTTGGCCAGGCGTGGTTTCAATGACTCTGAATAGCTCCTTGATATTTCCCGAGCACTGCGCCGGGCGAGGACGCTGAGCATCGTCGCTTCTCATGTCCCAGCCCTTCAGGACGCGAATTGGATCTGTGGTGTAGCTCAACCCTTCTGAGCTGGTATCTGTCGGCCCAGACACTCGCAATATTGAGGCCAGAATTCTGAGGCGCTCTCTGTCCTGTGCTGACCACTCGAGGGCACGGCTGACACCATCTACTTTCATCGATAGACCACTTACAACATCGAGATCTCGAACCCATCTACACAATGCCCCCAGCTTTGGCGACTCATTTCGTATCTGCATTTCCGCGAGGAGCACGAGAGCGTCCGTATATTTGGCATCAGCAAGCGCAGCTGTGATACGCGAGGTGAGGTTTGAATCTTCTGCTCTCGCTTAGTCACCGTACAAAAGAGACGAGAGGGGTCTTTACCAGCGGCATTTACCCCTATGGTACATGCTTGCCGGAAGTCGTAGACAGCTGTTCTCAGGTCTCTACACGCCTTAGACTTGATTAAGTTAGGATATTTGGCGATTGTTTGGAGGGTGTCGATAGTGATTTCAAGGTCCTCGTCGATAACAACGGCCTGGATGTTTTTCGGATCGCCCGAGGCATGATCAGGGGAAGGAACGGTGGCTCTGTTGTCGCTCTTGACTGCCTCGGCAGCTTGCCGCTTTCGCTTCAAAAATTTCGTTCTGCTCATTGTGCTCAGCGTGTTGACCCGACTTGTTCAGCGGTCAGGATGGATGGCGGGGAAGAAGATTTAAAGGAAAAGCCGCGACGTGGGGCTAGCGCCAAGGGCAGCCGAGATGATTATCTTATCAGATCGAAACTTATCAGATCGAGGCACACCAGGAGGGTCTGCTCATTGGACTTCGGCCCTGAACTGGGCTTAGCTCTCAGACACCGTGACCATCTAATCAAATTGCCGGTATGTGTAGAAGTGTGGAGAACGGCGGAGACAGACTTTAGCGGTGGGCACATCAGACAAGAATATATAGATCTACTCGCAAGTATCCTGAGCTACGCAATGGTGAAGGTACTGAGCCACATTCTCTAGCACAGATTGTAGTAGTGTTGGAAACTCGGCAGCCGTGCACCAACAACTCAATGACTCGACAGCAGTGTCACTGCCTGGATAGATCTTCCTCCATGGCTCAAATCAGCATCAGCACAAGGCAATCAGTAGCCCCTCCCCCTCTTCACCTCATTGACAAGCCGCTCCCCCTTCTCCAGGCGGTCTATATTCGAGACAAAGACATCAAACGCCCTGACCATATACTCGACTCCCAGTGCACTCATGTGCGGTGTCACCACCACATCTTCCCGATCCCACAACTCACTGCCCTCTGGCAGCGGCTCTGGCTCCGTCACATCTAGTGCCGCGCCCCTGAGCATTCCCCCATCCAAGGCCATCAACATGGCCTCCGTGTCCACGATCTTCCCCCTCGCGATATTCACCAGGATAGTCTTCGCCGCCTTGCCCCCGCCTGGCGCGGCGTCATGCAGGATCTGGAACTCCTCGGCGCCGAAGAGGCCCGTGGTGGCGGGCGTGAGCGGAAGGGCGATGATGAGCAGGCTCAGGCCGGAGCGCAGGAATGTGTGCAGCGATTCGGGGGTCGTGCCGCTGTACCAGGCAGCGGGGAGAGTGCCCTCGGGATCGCCAACGCCGGGCAGCAGGTAGCCGGTGTCACGCCGCGCCTCGGGGGTATTGCGTGGTGAAGCAGTGTAGGCGTGGATGCGGCAGCCCAGTGCAGTGAAGACGCGGGCGACTGAAAGGTGGTCAGCATTGTCAGAAGATCGAGAGGAAGGGAGGAGCAGGTCTCGTGGAACCAGAAAACTAAGCTTGAAGCAGACTTACTCTGGCGGCCAATACTCCCATAGCCGGCGATACCAACGGTCTTGCCCAGCCAATCGCTCATACTGCCCATACCACCTGGTAGTTCCGATGTGCCGCCCCAGTGATGATCGCGCTGCCACTTATGCATGGTGAAGGAGTGCCGGCTGAGGCCCAGCACAGAGGCGAGGACCCATTCGGCGATAGGTGGTCCATGGATGCCGGATGAGGTCGTAAGGGGAATGGTGGTTGAGGTGAATATGGGGCTGGACACGACATGATCAACACCAGCTGAGAGGAGATGAATCAATTTGAGGCTAGGCCACGGTAAGTATGACAGCGCTAAATGGGACCTAAGTGGCGCATACTTGGGGATATCGCCCGGATCATCAGGCAGGAGATGGAGTGTGAGAAGAATGGTTGCCTTCTTGTAGAGCGCTGATGACCAATCAGCGGTGCTGCACATCATGGGCAATGGCAAGAATGGCAGGGTGTGGGGATTGCGAGTCCTGCACTTCCACCTGGGCTATGATCATACCTTTCAACTCTGATTTACGCTGCTCGTCGCTCAGATCATCTCTATTGATCTGGATGAACGTCACTTTGAAGTCTGGGTAGCGTTTTTGGAGCTTTGCGAGATTGAAGGCCGACCGAGGTAATGGCACAGTAACGAGGAGGTCTTCCTTATCTGGACCGCCTCCCATTGTCGCGCGAGAGGAACACAATCGTGGGATGAATTTATAAGTCTAAAGCTCCAGTGTCGAAGTCTGGTCGAGATCGCGTTCGGATCGACTAACATGAGGACGTCGTGCCTAGTGGCAGTTGGAGAATCCGATTCATTGATAGACGAGTCAGCGAGACAACCCTCTCCGGTGATGAATAATGTGATTCTTGTGCTGTACTCGCTGCTCCGCCTGCTCGGCTATGCTTCATAAGTCATATCATACAAGCCTGAATCTCCACCAACGCCTTGCCATAAAGTGTCTGTCAGAAAATGGTAATCGATATCGTACTGCAATCCTCAAACATCACCACCAAGCTTTCCCACCGTTACCCATTGCATGTAGCCTTTCTTTTCATCACGCTTCTCTTGCAGGCCACTCCATCCGAGCTTTTCTTCGCCCATGAAGCCGACACCACCTTCACGAATCCAGATTGACAGAACGGCTCGAATCCACTGGAGCTTCTCGCGAATCTCGTTGGTGCTGACAACATCCGACTCGTTATTACGCAGAGCATCCGACATGATATCAGACAGACTTAGCGTCATCTGGTCTCGTCGTTCAAGCGCATCTCGGGTCAGACGACCGTACTTCGCTACATCTGTGGCATCGCCTGGCTCGAGATAGATCATGTCGACACAGTAGTCAGGAGTTCGTGTGCTCGTGTCTTTGTAGATGACGAGCTTGGTATGGTCCGGGAAGTTGAACTGCATGCCACCGTCAGCAAACCGCCACACCGTCACATTGCCGAGTCGCTGGTAGAAGTGGATGAAGTGCTGGCTGCTCTTGTTGGAAAATTCGTCCTCCTCCTCCGACTCCATGGCCTCATCCATGTCTTTCTTGTTCATGTATTTCCCTAGCTTATCGAGAAGCCCAACCTCTTTGAAACGCTCCAGTTCGCTTCCCATCAAGCCTGCCTGGGCCTCAACGATCGCTTCGGCTTGAGATGAATGCTTCTGCGCATCGAGGAGAAATTTCCGGGGTGGCACATCCAGTCGCACCATGTCGTTGAAGCTCTGAGCATAAAACTCAACCGCACGGGCTCGCTTGCCTTGTGGAACTACCTGCGACGTCGTTCCTCGGGCTCTATTGACCGCGTGGACCTTGGCGTTGCGCACCACAACGCATCCGCCTGCCTCAGATGCATCCACCTGCTTCTTAATCATGCCCATGGTACCATCCGTGAGCAGATATGCCATGCCATGTCTGCCAGAATAATCCACCCATTTGTCAACCCTTGGATAGGGAATGCGAGCCTTCATGCGACGACTGCTAGATCTGCCAGTCATGTCCTTACTGGAGCGCGGATTGAGAATGTCGTGAAGATCTTGCAACACTGCTATTACCACGTTGTTCGCCGTGTCAGTGACATAGGTATATGGATCTGATGGCGATATCAAAGCGGCTTTCTTGCTCGTTGCTGAAGGTGGCGTCGTGCTTGGCTTATCGGTAAGCCGTGATGCGGAGTCAGACCTGGGCACTATGTTATCACTTGAGACCGGTTTCAATGACCTTGTAGAAACATCACTGGAATGCTTCGAGGCTACTGAACTGGGTCTGGTGGTCGCATTGTCGCCGATTGCTGCGAGCTTCAGGCTGCGTGTTGTGTGAGAGCCCGTGCGGTCCTGTCTTCCTAGTGTAGCTGCCCGGGACGCGGGTCGTTCCATGCGATGGGTTTCTGCTGCCGAATCTAGTGAATTAGGTAAAGTGCTCGATTTCGGTAGAGGCTTGGACTCCTGGGTCAAGCTGCTTTGTGTTGTGCTGCGTGTTGATCTGGCACTAGCAGCGCGCACTGGTCGAGCTCTGAGAAGACCTTCTGTTGCGGTCACAGCGGGGTCTTGATCGATGGTTTTGGCCACAGGCTCGATGATTTGAGCGACCCGATTGCGATGCGGAACTGATTGCTGTCGCTGTGTAGCTGCAAAGCTTGGTACAGTTCTGGAGGAACGCCCGGGAAGCGTACCAGATGCTTTGCTCATTCCGGACTGTTCTTCGGGAATTCGTTCAAGCTCGTCCGATACTGGTTTACGTACCTTTATGCGCGTCGGCAAGCCTGATCGCTGCTGTTGTCGAGCTTCTTCGGCTTGCTCTTCAGTGATGGCGCTGTACAGGATGCCTTCGGGTAGAGGAATTGTTGGCGCAGAACCCGACTGGTTCTCTGCTTCGATCTCGATCAGAGCTGACATCCAGTGTTTCTCACCCACTCCCGGTCGAGGCGTGCCATCTGCTTTCCGCCCAACGCCCGAGATCCTACACATATTGGAATGAGTGATACCATATCCAGACTTGACCCTGTCACCCCTAGGATCGGCATTCAGGAGCCACTCAGGCTTCGTGCTCAGGCAAGTGGAATCGAGGGTGTCCGCTATGGTACCCATTGTGAAGAACTCGTGCTCCACCAGTGTGTCCATCTCAGGTCTGTCGGCAGAGTTGAGGTTGAGGCACGAGGCAACGAAATCCTTGGCTTGTTGTGGAATGTAATTTTTGCAGTCGATTTTCCATTCGTACTCGAGAGATCTGAGCTTGGTGTAGATTTCCTGCTGGGTCTTGGACTGAAATGGAGGTGTCCCGACCAGCATTGCGTAGGTAATGACGCCAATGGCCCAGGTGTCGACTTTGTTGTCGTGTCCTCGGGTACCAGATTTGCTCAATATCTCAGGAGCAATGTAGTTGGGTGTTCCACATAGTGTTGTCCTCCGGTCCTGATCGTCAGCCATCACCGCTGCCAGACCAAAGTCGCCAATCTTGATATTCATCCGTTCGTCCAGGAAAATGTTGCCCATTTTGAGGTCGCGATGAATGACTGATCTTTTGTGCATGTATCTTACACCACCACAGATTTGAATCATGAATCTCCTCACCTCAGGCAAGCTCAAACACGACCGAGCGCGCACCATCTCCGTCAGGTTGCCATTGGAGCATAATTCCAGCACGACGTACGTGTGGTTGTCTGATGTGAAGGCCCGGAGGAAGCCAACAATGTTCGGGTGGTTCATCTTAGCATGTATTTGTAGCTCGGTGCGGAACTTCTCCATCATCTTCCTCTGCTCAACCTTGGCTTTGACAACCTTCAGTGCGTAAATCTTCTTGCTGCGTAACGATTCTCCTTCGAAACAGACAGCGAACCCACCCTTGCCCAGTTTCTTTCCCACAATGAAGGTCTCCGGCTCTTTGCCAGGCTCGGTGATGGTAGTAGGTGGTCGCCATTTGTCGTCAATGCGATCGGGATTCGTTGGTTTGGCAGGGGGCTTCTCCTCTTTGGGTCGGGACGACTTCTTCATAGTACCAGTGCGAGACTTGGAGGGAACATTGGAAGATCGAGGCGAGAGGACCTCCATTTCGGCCGTGAGGGTGAACCGGGGATGCGGTTGCTATGCAGACAAGTGCATATAAACAGGACGGATGAGATTAGCAATAACAAAGTTGCATGGCGCTAGAAATTGAAAATGCGGCCTGCGAGTGAGCGGTGATACAGTCAAACGTCAAATCGTTGTTGTCAAGTCTTTGGAAAACATCAAGATGCAGATGGAAGGTACAATCATAGGTAGTTGTGGGGAGTCGCATGACCCGATCGGCAGGAAGAAACACCATGTTATTATTTCTCTACTCTCGGTCTAGTGCAGCCCCGTTGGAATTCCTGATGCCCCCCCGTCAGCCTTGCGTTCGGCCTTGGATACGACGAGTAGCCCGACAATGATTTTAATTGCTGTCCAACCTGTGACATTGCTACGGCTTTCGCCTCAGTCCTCATGGCGGAATGCTAGATGATGAGATTCACAGTGCCAGTCAACACATGCTCGCGGCTCCATATTTGCATCGTCCAACGACTCTTCTGACCCATCCTGCCTAAGCCATGTCACTTGCTCTCAAGTTTACCTCGCTCGCGATACGCACACTATCCAAACCAATAGCCGTGAGCTGCACTGTCGCATTCAGAATCTTTCGGTAAGTGGCTGACCGATAGCAGAATTTTATCAAGCAACAGGCTCGCGAACATCCGGGTTTCCGAGGAACATGCATAGCTTTCGCACAGCGCCTCCATCGGATAGATATGAGATGGCGAATAGGCCTTCTTCAAGATGCTGCAGCAATTGAAAGACAATCACAACGTGAAGCGGCTCGGGAAACAGCCAAGAGACATAAACACGAGATCCCTACAGTGAAAACAGAAGCACAGACCAAAGCTGATGAGGCAGCGGCTTCTAAATCCGCAAAGGACTCGGCAGAGCCTCCGAAGCCCAAGAAGCAGGAGCCTAGGATCAGACCATTGTCAGAAGCCAAGGCCATTGAATCAGGCGCCAACTTTATCAGCGAAACTTTCCTGTTTGGCGTGGCAGCCGCACTCATATTCTTTGAGTCATGGCGATCGCGAAGAAAAGATGCTGCACGCCGTGATGATGTGGCAGATCGTCTCAGCGACCTCGAGGAATCGGAAGCTGCAGCGCGGACTGCTCTGGTGGAACTGGAACGTGAGGTCCTCCGCTTACGTGCTAAGCACAATCTGGACGGCACCAAGCGTATTCTGCCGAAGGAAGTATATGAACCAAGAGAAGAGAACGAGGAGGTCACGAAAGGATGGATGACTCGGATAGCGGCCTTTATCGGCCGAGATATGACGGAGGACAAGGAGGCGAGAGATGCTCTGGAGACCAACTCACCAGGCCCAGCAGAAAAGATTCTGGCCAAGGCAGACAAGGATCTCGAAGAGAAGAAGAAGCAGCGTGAGCGCGAAGCCGAACTTGCCCAACAGCAGGCTTCTGAGACAAAACCACGAGAGAACAGCTGAAGCAACGATTGACAGACGTTCCCTAACGTTTCCAAGTCCTGGCGAGAAGCTTCATGTGCGATGCTGGAGACTTGAAAAGTCCCTTGCGGGACTCTTGCCTCAGATCAGCCTCACTCGGGACTCGCCTGCACTTGGCGAACTGTATCACCACCTCATCTCAACTTGTAGATACAAAAGATACCCAACTTCTGAATGCAAATGCATTCAACAATTCATCATGGAGCCATCTGTTGTCCGTCCTCGTCCAATCTGGAAGTCTACTCGGCCCAATGACCCAGCAGGAACCAGCTCTCCGAATAAGAACACATCGACATCGCAGAGGACTGATCGTCTGAGCTTCGAAGTTCAAGTCTCAGCCACTGTGGTCACGGTCGGCGGAGTAATACTCGAAGATTCAGACCTCGCAACAAACCTGGCAAGTTCTAAGATGAAGGACTACTTTCCGGAAACACAGGCCAATGTCAACGTGGTTGTGCTTGTCTCGACTGGAGCGTCTGGCAGCGATCCTAGGGACCGTCTACGATGCTTGTTGGAGGTGCAGATGCTGTAAGCACACTGCGCTTCCCCAGTTCGCACATTAATTCCACTAGACTCCTCGAATATCGGCCGCTGCCTGTGCTGGTAGTAGATTGCGTCGCAGAAGGGGAGGCAGCGGTGCGCCGACAGCTTTCGAACAGCTCGACAACGCTGCCACCAGAGAGATCACCCACAGCGCTGATAGCTCACGCCACGGCGTCGGCTCCTGCCAAAAAGCTCTGGCAGCAGGATGCAGCTAGCCTCAACAGTATCTTCACATCTGTTAAGGAGCTGGAGACGGGCACCCGAACAGCAGAGGGGCGGGCACTTATTCATGACTTCTTGGATCCTAGCACAGCCCGAGATGTGATCGACTTCTGGGAGGACGAATACCTCGCGATGTAATAGACGGCTGACAATGATGGGCGATCCTGCAGACCTCAAAAAACTCTAGTAGACATTAGCCACCGTGGTATCACTATTTTCTGCTACACGCGTCCCATTAAGGCGACAGTGAATTCACTCAATCAGATACAATTGGCTTGCGCGTCGTCTGCCGTGGCTGTGCTCGCTTCCACCGCGCCATTCCGGCGAATCTTGGCCGATGCTGTCATAAGGCTGCGATCTAACCACCGAACCACCGCCTCAGCCTTGATCTCTCCAGGTTGGGCTGCGAAACGTGAGCGCTCTCAGATTCTCTCCCTCTTTCTCATACATCTCATTTGGTCGATACCCACCAAAAGCCCTTTGAGGCTGTCCAGCGTTCTTTCTGTCCCAATTCATGACCTAGCACAGCCGGCGCATCATCATGGTAAGCCCCGCGGCTCTCGGTCTGCAACACTGTTGACACGGCGTAGGGTCAAACGAAGCGCCGCGAGGGCAAGTCCCGCGTACCAAAGTCCTCCCTTTTCGGCGGGGGCAAATCCAACGATGCCGGTGGAAGCGGCCAACCCCAGATCAAAAAGGCCGCTTTTGAGATCACCAAGAAGAAGGAAGTGGGCGTTTCAGATCTCACACTTCTCAGTAAGGTCTCCAACGAAGCGATCAACGACAACCTGAAAAAGCGATTTGAACATGGCGAAATCTACACTTATATTGGCCACGTGTTGGTCTCGGTCAACCCGTTCCGGGACTTGGGTATCTACACAGATGAGGTACTCGACTCATACAGAGGGCGCAACAGACTAGAAGTCCCGCCACACGTCTTCGCGGTGGCTGAGTCGTCATATTACAACATGAAAGCGTACAAAGACAACCAGTGTGTCATCATCTCTGGAGAGTCAGGAGCAGGAAAGACAGAGGCGGCAAAGCGGCTCATGCAGTACATTGCCAGCGTATCAGGAGGCACCGATTCAAGGATCCAACGGACGAAAGACATGGTTCTGGCCACGAACCCTCTCCTCGAATCCTTCGGTAACGCGAAGACTCTCCGAAACAACAACTCGTCACGATTTGGCAAGTATCTCGAGCTAGAGTTTAACGAACAGGGTGAGCCAGTCGGTGCGAAGATCACGAACTACCTACTAGAAAAGACGAGAGTGGTTGGCCAGACACAAAATGAGCGGAACTTTCACATCTTCTACCAGTTCACGAAAGCTGCGTCGAAAGAATACCGCGATACCTTTGGTGTTCAAACTCCGCAATCCTACCTCTACACAAGCCGATCGAAATGTTACGATGTTGACGGGATCGACGACACTTCCGATTTCGCGGAGACTTTACAGGCGATGAAAATTATTGGACTGTCGAAGGCGGAAACGGACAACATCTTTCGTGTATTGGCCGCTATTCTTTGGCTTGGAAATGTCACCTTTCGCGAAAACGATCAAGGTGGCGTCGATATCGCCGACCAGTCAGTGGTAGACTTTGTCGCCTACCTGATGGAGGTAGATTCAGCACATGTCAACAAGGCGCTGACCATCAGGATTGTCGAGACTGCTCGTGGAGGTGGCAGACGTGGTTCGATATACGAATCTCCCCTGAACCCGGTTCAAGCTGCGGCAGTAAGGGATGCTCTATCTATGGCACTCTACTTTCACCTGTTCGACTGGATCGTCGCGCGCACGAACAAGTCGCTACAAGCACAGGGTGCCGTGAAGAACACGATCGGTATTCTTGATATTTACGGCTTCGAGATCTTCGAGCGAAACTCCTTCGAACAGCTTTGCATCAATTATGTCAATGAGAAACTTCAGCAAATTTTCATTCAACTGACGCTGAGAACGGAACAGGAGGAGTATGCGCGCGAACAGATCCAGTGGACGCCAATCAAGTACTTTGACAACAAGGTTGTATGTTCACTGATCGAAGACAAAAAGCCACCTGGTGTCTTTGCCGCGCTTAACGATGCTTGCGCGACTGCACACGCTGATTCAGGAGCTGCGGACCAGACATTTGTCGGACGACTGAACTTCCTATCGCAAAACCAACACTTTGAAAATCGTCAAGGTCAGTTCATCATCAAGCACTACGCTGGTGATGTGCACTATGCCGTGCCTGGTATGACCGACAAGAACAAAGACCAGCTGGCGAAAGATCTTCTGAATCTGATCGGAGAGAGCGGCAACCCATTCGTCCACGAGCTCTTCCCCAATCAAGTCAACCAGGACGACAAGAGGCGGCCTCCTACCGCAGGTGACAAGATTAAAGTCTCTGCGAATGAGCTGGTAGATACTCTCATGCAAGCACAGCCATCCTATATTCGGACGATCAAGCCGAACGAGAACAAGTCCCCGCGGGAGTACAACAACGAAAATGTCATGCATCAAATCAAATACCTTGGTCTGCAGGAGAACGTCCGCATTCGGAGAGCCGGATTTGCCTACCGTCAGACTTTCGACAAGTTTGTGGAGCGGTTTGCGCTACTGTCTCCCAGATTGTCGTATGCTGGCGAGTACACATACACTGGCGACGTCAAGACAGCATCCAGGATTGTCTTTGAGGATACGAGCATTCCAAAGGAGGAGTGGCAGATGGGCGTAACCAAGGCCTTCATCAAGACTCCCGAAACTCTCTTTGGCCTCGAGCATATGCGAGACCGTTACTGGCATAATATGGCAGTCAGGATCCAGCGTGCTTGGAGAAATTATCTCAGATATCGCGCCGAGGCAGCGACGCGTATTCAGCGCTTCTGGCGCAAGTCAAAATCCGGGGTCAAGGAAATCGAGTTCAGAGATCAGGGCCACCGACTACTGCAGGGCCGAAAAGAACGTCGGAGGTACAGCTTGCTTGGTTCTCGACGGTTCTTTGGTGACTATCTGGGTCTCAACATGCCTGGTGGTGCTGGCCAAACACTAAGGAATGCCATCAATCTAGGCTCCCAGGAACGGGTCGTCTTTTCCGCACGTTGCGAATTGCTAGTCTCTAAATTTGGTCGATCCTCGAAGCCGATGCCTCGAATCTTGGTCTTGACCCAGAAGTCTGTCTACATTGTCAATCAAGCCTTCGTCAACAACCAACTGCAAATATCCGCTGAGAGAACCATCCCAGTTGGCGCAGTGAAATACATTGGATGCTCTACACTGCGAGATGATTGGTTCTCTCTTGGTGTTGGATCTCCCCAGGAAGCCGATCCCCTGATCAACTGTCCTTTCAAGACCGAGTTTTTCTTGCAATTCAAGACGGTCGCTGTTGGTGGCATGAATCTCAAGATTGGTGATGGTATTGAATTCAACAAAAAGCCTGGCAAGCCTACCGTGGTCAAGGTTATGAAGGATCCGCAGGTGCCTCGGGACGACATGTACAAGTCTGGAACAATTCATGTTGGTCAGGGCGAGTCTCCACAGTCTCAGTCGAAGCCAACACCTCGCGGTAAGGCAGTGGCCCGGCCCATCACAACAGGAAAGCTGCTTCGCCCAGGTGGCCCTGGAGGTGCACCAACCAAGAATCGACCCAAGCCAGCACCTCGCCCCACGCCAGCAGCTAGACCAGCAGCGGCGCCAGCGGCGGCGGCAGCAGCTCAACCTCGGCCCGTACCAACCCCTGCTGCGAATGGGATCGCATCTCATATTCGCAACGAGCCTGCAAATCGTGCGCCACCTCCTCCGCCACCTCCAGCTGCGGCTCCTGCGCCGGTTCCATCAGGCAAGCCACAAGCCAAGGTCAAGTACGACTTCAACACGCCTAACGCAAACGAATTGTCCATCTCTGTGGGACAGATCGTTGAGATTGTGCAAAAAGAAAACAATGGTAAGCTCCGGTTCCTTTCCATGCTGTACCCAATACTAACAACCTTAGGCTGGTGGCTGTGCAAGAACCTGACTACGCAAGCCCAAGGTTGGGCGCCTGCTGCGTATGTGGAAGAAATCCAAGAATCGCGTGCACCTCCGCCTCCACCTCCGCCTCCTGCTGCGCCAGCGCGTCCAGTCCCCTCGGTTGCCGTGAACGGTTCTACCGCCGCCGCAGCCAAACCGACACCGCCTGCCCCGCCTGCAAAGAGGCCTGTAGCGGGTGGCAGAAAACCAATGCCACCGCCAGCACCAGCTAGAGACAGTCAAGCCAGTTTGGGAAGCATGGCGACAATGAACTCCAATAGTGGTGGATCGGGCGCGAACTCCGGGAGGAGCACGCCAAACAGCATTGGAGGAGGTAGTCTAGCAGGTGGTTTGGCGGAAGCTCTGAGGGCGAGACAGAGCGCGATGAGCGGACAGCGGAAGAACGACGACGATGACTGGTGATGTCAAGCACGAGTTACGGAGTCTGTGGCAGTTAGGTAGATGGCCAGAAAGTCGAGGGCGGTTGATGGCAGTGGTGGCGGTTTGGGAATACCAAGGCCCCACCAGGCAGCAACGAGACGATAGAACGACCCATTCAATCAATGAAAGCGATGCGTCCTTGCTTGATTGTCGCCTCCTTTCATCCTGTTGTACGTGGCCGACATCCCGTTCTAGAAGCATATGCCTGGCCGAAACCCCACCCTTCATAATAGCCGTGCCGCGCCACTGCCTCCGCCCCACGGGCAGCCCGCTGGGGATTTACCACCACCATCAGACTGGTCGAATTGGAGACAGGACGCGCCTCCGGAGTACGTCCGCGGTGTGGGGACTGTAAGCAATGGAGAGCGTCATGTACAGAAACCCGACGACCCCACGGCTCGTTGTGAAAACCAACGATATGCCATCGTTGGCTATTCCGGCTAAATTGGAAATCGTACCACTACTCCCACCGGGTCAAAGATGAGGGGGTTCTTCGTTCTTTGGGGTATCAACGGGGCTCTTTGGGTGCGAATGCGTTTCCACTGGCTGAATACAGTGCTTTGAGTTGAAGACGGAATTCGGCTCCTCGTTGTCACTTCTTTGAGCCGGGCTTCCAGTACGGTGAGTGGTTGGATGTACCGTCCAGGCGCAGGAGGACGTGTGCAGGCGTTGAGCGCCTTTTGACTGCTGACCTTTTGCATTTACTTGCTGTATATATCCACTAATCCCCAGACTACCCCAGTCCGTTCTCTCACAAGACCGAAGCGGACACTGTTCCTGCTACTCCAAACGTCCACCGGCCATCGTGCTGTTCATCCTCGGACGCTCTACGACATACCGTGAACGGCTAGAGACTGGGAATCGCTGCCACCATGGCCTCTCCTACCATCTCTCAGCTCCTCGAACACCAGAAGCCCAAAACGCTCAGCCAAGAGCAGGTTGACTCTTTTATGAAGCATGGCTTCCTGCGCATTCCCGGCGCCATCATCCCAGAGAAAGGCGAGATGTGGACTAAGAACGTTTGGAACCGGCTAGGCATGTATGTCTCTTACCCAGGATGCTTAAACAACGGCCCATTGGCCCATGCTTGCCTCCGTCTTCCCTGTAGCCATCAAACCAGGACCACTTTCGCTGACAGCCTCAAGGGATCCAAACGACGTATCGACGTGGCATACCGAGCGCACCAACATGCCACAACATCATCGCATTCCTGTCGCCGAAGTCGCGCCCGCTGCCTGGTCTGCCATCTGCGAGCTTTGCGGCGGCGAGGACCGCGTCTCGGATGGCGGCCGCCAGTGGTCCGATGGCTTCATCGTGAATCTTGGCAAGCCCGAGTACGAGGGCAAGCGAGTCATGCCCAAGGATTTGGATAACTGGCACGTTGACGGTGACTTCTTCATCCACTTCTTAGACAGCCCCGAGCAGGCACTGCTTGTGATCCCTTGCTGGTCCGACGTGGAGAGCAACGGCGGTGCAACATGGATTTGTGACGAGGGCCCGGCCAGGATAGGGAAGCATCTTGTACGTCTTCACTGTGCAGCAGACCTAACATGACTCTCTCGGCTGACAAAGGGACAGTACGACCACCCTGAAGGCGTCACCCCTCGCATGAGCCCACGTAGCACCGACCCCGACCAAGGCCGCGGCACCCTCGAGTTCTTCATCGAGACCGTCCGGCAGTGCCCAGACGAGAGCTTCCACGAGATGACCGGCAAGAAGGGCGACGTCATCCTCATGCACCCATTGATGCTGCACTCCGCGAGCAAGAACGCGCGGCGCTTAGCTCGTAAGTGTGGCGCTCTAGATCCTCTCACAATATGAACTCACCTTCCCCCCACCCCCCTGCACTGCACTCCCATACGCCAGAAAAGAAAACTAACACACACTTCCACCCAACAGGCATAATAACCAACCCCCCCGTCTCCCTCACCTCGCCCTTCGTCTTCTCCCGCGCCAACCCGGCCGACTACAGCCTGATCGAGCTCAAGACCATGGCGGCGGTCGGCGGCGAGCACGCGCCCGAGATGTTCAAGGACTGGAAGATCACGCGGGAGCGCGAGCTCGTGGTGCCCGAGCGCGTGCGTCGTCAGCAGAAGATGCTGGCCGAGGAGAATGAGCGGTTGCGCAAGTTGGGGCTCATGGGCGCCGACGAGGGCATTAGTCAGGCGCCGCAGATCTTTGAGGTCTCGAAGGCGGGGAAGGAGGCTAAGGTTGGGGCTTGAGATGGAAGGGTGGGAGGTGGGTGAGTCTTCCTTTGTGTCTGATTGATGCGTGTGGGTACGTATGGAATGCAAATAAGTATATTTTATGAGATCGCGGCTCCTCCTCTTCTGCAATTTGCTCTCAAGTCTCCTTGGATCACTTTAGCGCTCGTCTTCGCAAAGAAGCTGTGGACTCCTGCAATGGAACTGGGAATTCGGTGGACACTTGCCCTGGTGTTGACTGTGGTCCATTGTGGTTTCGCTAACTACTGCCATACCCCCGTGGAGGCTAATGGAGTCATCAATGGATATCAGTATCTAATGCTATCAGATTCGGCTCCAGCACTACCACCGTCTCAAGAGACTTCAGCCCCAGACCCACGTCCCATTGATACGCCGCGCTCGACCATGCAAACATCCCGTTCTGACTCACGCCAGGATTCCAAGGTCAACAGCCAACAACGATTGTAGCATAAAAGCGCCGTGTCCCCTCCGCTCTGCCCTACCATACAACGTCAGCTACAAGCCTGACCCTCGCTGCTTCAAGCACATGCTTACCAACACCCACTCCGTTCTCCATACACAACGCTCATCACCCCTCCCTCCTTCCACACCTCCCTCCTCGCTCAAAGCCCACTCACTACCTAAACGCCACAAACCCCCCACCCCCCTTTCCCAAGCGCCACGCACAACGGCTTCGGATCCGCGCTGACATCGCGACACTCGCACTTGCGATCACACTCGGCGTCGGTGCGCCCGCCATCGCCAATGTCCGGGCTACCGTCCCAGTCGCAGCGGTACTTGTAGGGGTTGGCGGTGCAGCGGCGCGAGAGCGGGATGTCGTCGTATTTGAGGCCGAGGCTGGAGGTGGAGCGGCAGATTAGGGCGTAGCGGTGGGGGGTGAAGGGTTGTCGGGGTTGGAGCAGGGAGAGGAGAGGTGTGTTGTCGTCTTCGTCGGCGGGTGCTGGTTGAGAGGGGGTGGGGAGGGGAGTGGTGGCGTCGGTGCTGTGGAGGGGTTGGGCGTTTGAGGCGATGGAGTCGAGGTCGTGGTCGGGAGGGAGTGAGTACATCGTGTCAGCGGCTTGAAGAGAAGCAGACATTGTCTCAGGAACCGTTGAGGAAGCAAGAGGGCTTGGGGCGGACTCGCACGTCAAGTTGGATGTCACATCGCTCCCCACAGTCGTGTCATTGTGTTGTGTTGGTAAAGCAAAGGCTGAGGTCGCAATTGCTCCAAGAGCCAGAAGCTTTGTGAGGGCGGTCGAGATGTGCATAGTTGCTTTTTCGAAGTTCGAAAGACCAGGGCCTTTAGTGGAGTGTGTAGATCCTCTTCAATACAAGCTCAGGGATAGAGAGGTGTATTGTGTTGATGACACTTGTGTCTGCAAGGACTGCTGCTGAAGTCAGCGTGCAAGGGACTTAGCAAGAGATACGAAAGTATGTGGAAGTGGTTTTAAATCGAACCAGCGAAGCAGTTCATGATCAGCCTTGTTGGCAAGAAGTGACATGTCCAACGCCTACGCCGTCACTCCTCACATGTTGCCGCTTACGGATGGGCACGATAGGTGACATGTGTGGCTATGCTCGGCTTTGTGTGGGGGGGTGATACTGTGAAGGCGTTGGTTGCCTCTTTCAGGCGGCCGAGGCAGCAGGACGACATGAGGCTGATTTGAGGGTCGCTGCAGCAAGCGTCGCGAACACCACGCAGCAAAATCGTTGGAATTGATCTGATCAAGCGTCTAGATTCTTTTATTTTTCGTTCATGAGCCAGGAGTAGGAGGCAGGTAAACAATGCTCGGTAGTCCAGCAGGTAAACAAGGTCCATGTCTGGTATACTGGTAGATGTTGGCTTTCAAATTCGAGAAGACGTAACCAAATTGTTATCGCAGAAACGATGCTCGTGATGAGAATGAATGTTTGCTGTAGCAGATCTCACTAGACTATTCTGGAATGCTTCCAGACTTCAGATATTACCTGCGCGTCTTGCATCGATTTCTGGTCCATACTATGACCTCTCAGATCTGGCAAGAAGTTGTACGAGTTCGTCCTTCCACAGATCTGCCAAGATGTAAGAACCATGGCCAATGGTCTTGTTACTGGCCGGGATGATGACAGCTTTGCCTAGTCCTTCAGCCATTTGATTCTGGACCGCTGGTCTCAAGATGTCAGGATCCGGCGGATTCATCAGATCGTCAGCAGTATTCACCGCCGTCAAAGGCGCCATGATCTTTCCGAGGTCAGCTTCAGGGTCGTAGGTATATGAAGCGTTGTATGCGTAGAGCTGATTGTTGACGTCGTAGTAATCTCGGTTATCCAGGAGGAGCTCAGACAGCTGGTCGACTTCCTCATCCATAGCGTCTCTAGTGGGGAACTCTCGCGCCAGATGCTGAGGTCCGGCAAACATGACTTGTAGTACGCTCATAGCGCCCTGGAGGGCCATCAACGGCTGGGTTTCATAGTCGCCCCCTTTCCATTCCGGGTCGCTCTGGATCAAGTCCATGAAGAATCTTCTCCAAAGTCGATTCTGGCCAGTGATCTGCACTGGCAGTGAAGCAATTGGCATCAAGGCGTCCATGAAATCTGGATGTTGCTCGCCCCACATCCAAGTGTGCATACCACCCATGGAGACACCCATGACTAGCCTCAGGTGGTACACCCCGAGATGCTCGGTGAGGAGTTGGTGGTCAACACGGACCATATCCGAGTACTGGTATTTCGGAAATCGGGCATGAAGACCTGTATTGCGAGGAGTGCTCGAGTTGCCATGCCCAATGCTATCTCGAAGGATAATGAAGTACTTATCTGCATCGAGAATTTGGCCGGGGTTGAAGAGAGCGCCGGCAAAATCATCGTTCAGGAATTGTTCACTTGAACCCGTGCTGCCATGCATAATGAAGACCGCATTGTTGCTCCCATCATCGTTGACTTGCAATTTGCCCAACGTCTTGTAGTGAAGCTCGAGTACGTCCAGGGTCTCTCCGGAGTCGAAGGCGAAATTTGGAATTGTAAAGTTGCCGGCAGTGGGAGTTGGCCATGCCTGTTCGGCTGGGCCTTGAGCCTTTGCCAGTGGAGAGAGCAGGTGGAGGCCCAGTACAAATAAGTGTCTTTTCATCTTGATCTCGTATAGTTCAGTCCAAAGATAAAGGTTTTCTCACGTTATGATGGTTGAGTTGGGCTATCGTCGAGTTGTGATTGAGGATCGATTTGCTCTGGTAGCTGCGTGAAAGATCAGCATAGGGAGCAAAGCAATTTTATACTATCCTTATACGTTGCGTTTGAGGCTCGTACACACGCTACGTAGAGGGGTCGCAAACTAAGCGTAAGAGCCTCCCCGCGTATACGTCGTCGCATGTAGTACTGTACTCAGCAAGCTGCTAGGCATTTGGAGAGGTACCTAAATAGCCCGTCCTATCAACGTTGGAGCTAGGCGTTCATTCTTGGCATGGTAACCTAGAAGAGTAAGGTGTACCCGCAGAATCTGCCTCTTGTGGTTTAGCTTCTAGTCTGGAATACTCTCCAGGCTCCCACAATGATGGAGAACCTGATATAGTCTATGTTACGGCCGTAGCTAATGCATCGAAAGCTGTATGAGTGCAGCTCAACGATCACTCTTTTCGTGAGTCTCGGTAGAAAGCCCTTCGCGTCTTTTACCTAGTTCAACACCGTCGCTGTGGCTGGCCAGGCTGCCTTGAAACCGCAAGTATCTCGTAGATTGCGGCCGTACAAGTAGTTTTCATTACGAACAAGAGGTACTTGGGTTATGCTCACGCTGTCTGAAGGGATTTGAGGGTGTACGGAGTGATGTCATGGTTTGGAAGGTCACCGCAAGCCCGTAGAGCATGACTGAGGCTGGTGGCATAATCTATGTCGCCCAACATTATGCCACTGTCTTACAAGAAAGCAGATCTGACCAGGATTGCGAGACAGAACGTAAATTTTTTGTCTATTTATCACTCGGTGGCTATGTACGCGCGTTCCGACAAGGTATTGCTGCCACTCGATGGTTCTCTTAAAACCAGGAGAGGTGTAAAAAAGGCCAGCTCCATCAATGCACTGATCAATGAGCGCCCGGGTCTAGCTATTTAGTCCGTAAACCCAGAGGAGTGATCTACTTGCGCATCGGATAGGTCTCGACCTCGGTACCGCTGACAGAAGACCTATTCAATCTACTGAACCGGACAGCGTCCTCTATAGAACCAAGGACAATCACGCCCAATTCAATGGGTGCGTCGTTGGAATGAAGACACTGTAAGTTGTGTGTGTAAACCTTTCGTCGCGTCACATTGATGATCCTAGTCCATAATGTGAACCATGCAGCCAGCTACAGGCGTCATGGTTTCGGACTATTAGTCCTCTGGCAATCATTGAGTCTGAGTCGCCGGAACGTGTTCGAAACAGCGAGGTAATGCTGCACATATGTCTTGGCATTCTCAAGGCTGCGAGTCAGCCTTGCAGACGGTCACTGTTTACTTCGCAAGATATTTGAACTTGAGAGTAACGGGATCTTGACACGACGATAAGTCGCGGTGTCTGCTCGCACTGGCCAGCATAGCTCTGATGCTTGCATATTGATCAAGCACGTAACAAGTCTCGGGCATTTACCACCATGGCAAATCAGCGCAACTCGGCGTCACCATCCCCGCCCCCGCAACCACCTGTCGCAGCTGCGCCGGGTCCACGAGCAGCGGCTCTCCAGAAGGTGTTTGCAGGGGCACTATCATCATCGCTGAAAGCAGACTCTTATGCGAACTTCTCGTCATGTTTTCCTACCCCAGCCAAATACTGCCCGACCGCCCTTGAAGGTGTATGGAAGCAGCTGAATACGCGATTGGAGGAAGAATGCATGCGCGACTTTGAAAAGATTCTAGAGGAGCGTTCGGTCGTGGAGGGCTTGAACCAATGGGACACACTGATTGACGATGCGCGACGGCGAAAGAACCGTGCCGTTGAGGGTGAGCAGCCCAGCAGACCGTACGCCCCCACCATTCACGCCGAACAGACTCTAGCTGACTTAAACAGACTACACACTCTTTCCGCAGACGAGCTCTATCGCGCACATACGACGCCCTTCCTACAGCAGACAGCCACCGAACTCGAGTCCAAGCTCCAGGCTACACAACAAAACAACGTACAAATGATGGAAAACATTGCTGCACAACGCGTCGAGATGGAGCAGCTGATTAGCGGCCTCGAATCTGTGGTCAGAGACATCGAGGGTAGTGTCGAGGCAATGAGTGGCGCCGAAGAGTCGAGCACGGAAGGGCTGAAGAAGGATGTTTGGGAGCTGGAACAAGAAGTGGCAGCAACGAGGTGAGCGAGGTTACACTCAGGGTGGCCGATACGCACACGATGATTACGACCCTTACGGAAGCTGCTGTTCAGCGTTGGTGTTGGTGGCGCATGTATTTGACAGAATCCGTCTGGGTTCGGAGCTCTGCATGGTCGTCCACATCGGGAATATAGACACAAGCTTGGATGACTGCATTGGGACGGGCAGATGCTGTCGAGGCCAATGGAATGTGCAACCGCGACGGGTGTATGTACTCTACATACACAAGGGTCTCGACTACTGATGTATGACGTGCATATACGTACAGCATGTAATTGCACCAAAAGCTTCTCGAAGCGAGGCATCAAAATGAAGCCGCACTGGCAGCAGCCAATCAATGCCATGCCCGGGGTCTGCCAAGGATGGTCTCGGGCTGCCTTCTTGTTTACAGTAGATTGCTGACTGTCCAGCTGCACTGCACCACTGCTTGACCATCGCCATCTCGGAGCACACGACAGCTGTCATCAATAGCCTCAGAGACTATTCGAAGACCACCATGGAGAAGTATGTCAATTTGTCAGTCCATAGCCTCCCATCGGCGACACGCAGCATTGTCCAAGCTCATGCACGCTCCAGCTGCATGCTGCACCACGTACATTAGGCCAAGGCCAATCACAACAACCTTTCTCAACCGCTGCTGTGTCCAAGAGATCCCTGCGAACACCTTCAACGGTATCTCCGTTGCACAGCGACTATTGTTTACCCCAGTGCTCGCACGCGACGCGCTGGTCTGGTCGGAGTATCGGAAACCAAGCCGGATGACTGCTGAGTCGCCGCAATAAGGTTGGCTCATCGTGCTGGCGTGTATCTGCCCGAAATTGCTTCCTCCACCGCACACACAAACCGCCCAAATCCGCCATACACACACCTTGAGATTACATGGAAAACATGTCCCGGCCTCTCGCTTGCTTTCTCGCGTCCCAATTTGCCGCCAACCGCGCCACGGATGTTGTTCCCTGTCCCAGTACCCTGGACCCCGGTGAATCGCTATGCCTCGCCTCGTTCTGGGCACTCTCCATCCCTGCAAACCGTGTCCGCAACGCGCCATGGACCCGGATACACTTGATCTGCTAACTCTGATGCCGCCTTGTGAGGTCTGGCTAACCGAGAGACGCGTCAAGGCGCGACTGAGCAAAAACCTACGCCGTCTGCTCATCTCAAGTCTGCCTCGTCAGCTTCTCTTCCAACTGCACAGTCCCTCGTTGTTTGCGCTGTCACTTGCTTCTTCCTGCAGGTGATATCGCTGGCTGCAGCAGAATACTGCCTGCTGCATCCAGCTGCACCAACAAATTTCCATCCGTCCCCCACAGTTCCTCCCAATATCGCGTCCTGATTGGCTTGCGACACCAACGTCTCACTCCAAGTCTCCATCTGCCCCATCGACCCCATCGCCATCTACGATCCATCAGACTAGAGGAAGGCTTGCAGAAGTTTTCAATAACAAAGGGAAAGCCCCGCGTGCTGCAGAGTTGAGCGAACCCAACGTCACCCTCACAACAAACGCGACTGCCACTCTGCCTTCGTCTCTCGAGCAACGATCTCATAATCCGCCTGCGTTGCCGTTTGTCTATATGCCATCCTCGACTCCGGCGCCCAACATTCACGGTTACTCATCGCAGCGGTTTGACTAGACGGTCCCATGGAGCAATCCCTCCGGCTCTGGACGATAGGCGGCTTCTCGATAGCCTTTAGCATCGGCAGCATCATTCTCAATGTTCTTCTTGGATGCAGCATTTCCGACGTCGTTGATCTCAGTGCCCTTCGCACCCTCTTATTTGTTTCTGTCGGTCTCAATGTAGTCGCGTTGTGCGGTCTAATCTACTTCAATGCCGTTCCCATCCGCCAACTCAGGGCCGCCTCCCTCGGTCTCTCGCGTACTTCTTGGTGGATTTTTGTGTACGGCACCGCAGTTGCGGCCAGTGCTTTAATCTTGACCGGCGTGGTCCTAGTGTGGTCTACTCTGAAGCAGGAGGACCTTCCCAGAAACACCATTCATGAGAGGCCCATCATCTTGATTGCCATCTGGTTCGCCGCATGGGGTGTGACTCTTGCCCTTCAGATCGTCTTCTACGTCCTTCTGGGAATGTGGACGAAGAAGGCTTTGAGGACGCAGTCGCTGGGACGGCTGGATCTGGACTTCGGTATCCGGCCCATGACTATGGACGAGGCGCGGCCAGGGTCACAGATGACACACAAGACGTTCTCATCACAAGACAATACCTTGCACTCGCCTCCAAGGACACCTACCTCACATGTTCCGAGCACCAGACGGTCGTCTTCTACCAGGATCGGGACGGGCTCATCCAAGATCAAGCTTGTAAAGGGATCGGCAAAATCCTCCCTGGATCTACCCGCATGGCCAGCCGGAGAGGCAGTTTCGATTGACAGCGCATTCGATGCGTGGGATACATCTTCGGTGCATCGAGAGATGCGAGCAGCCGTTCAGTCATCGCCGACGTACCGGCATGGCTTAGAGACTATTCCCGGCAGCAGATCCGAGTCTCCGGCAAATGCTCTTGATGGGCCATTCCTCCCCAGCTCTCCTCATGCAGCTTCGTCAGAAACTGCAGAGGCCATTGGTTGGAATCCATCATCGCCCTTCCGCCAGTATCCTTCATCGCCGCCGTCGAGTCCTCCCAACTTCTCTCGTCCTACCTCTCGGCCAACGTCATCCCATAAGACCAAAGCGCTGGCCCCGGCGTTCGAAGTAGGCATGTATGACGCCAAAAGGAACTCAACCCACGGTCTAATTCATCCGTTGTTCCGGCCCAACAGCCCTGAACCGCCCCCAGTTGCCACAGCGGGCACTATGGTCACAGCATCACCTATAGCGGGCGAGCCTATTACACCAAAGACCTTATCCAGGCTACGGAGCAGGTCAGAGTCTAACGGTCACTGGAGAGCTATGCCCAGTGTGGATCAGGCGGATAGGCCCAGCACATCGGGCTCAATAACGAGCAGTGTGCCAGGCAGTCCCGGACCGTCAATAATCGAAGATGAGGAAGAACCACCTATGCTTCCCGCCTTTATCATGACAGCTGGGCAGCGATCAAGTCTAGTGGGTTATGGTAAAAGGAAAAGTCGACCCAAGTCGCAGCTCTCGGCGGGTAGCCGATTGAGTCAGCTCTTGATGTAGCATCGGTTTTGTTTTGTTTTTTCTCGCAGCGGCTTCTGGTACCGTCTGCTTCATGTTATGGACTTTATGTATTGTTGACGAGCAGTGATTTTAGCGTGGAGTTGAGGGGGAAAAGCCGCGCCCGAATGCCACGGAAGCAGCAGGCAAATTGGATTTCTTAGGCTAGATAATCATATTGTTTGGTCCTCCGCAACTTGCAATCGACGAGCTTGAATCTTGAATCTTGAAGCCCGCGAGAAGTCCTTGGAATAGAGATGATTGGGCTTTTACCGCGAGTGGCAAAGTCCGGCCCGGATCGATGGGGCTAAGGCCCAAAGTCGCCTAGTCGCCAGTAAGAAAACGGTCGAGCGCTTTTGGGCTCTGCTGCCGCCCAGAAATGCCACAGTCGAGTGCTCACGCCTTCAAGCCCCGTCCATCCTTTCAACCCAATTGCATTCACTGCTCCCTTCATCTGCATCCCAGCCGCAATGGCAGAATCGTATCCAAGCCGCCAGGCGGTGTACGGGTACAATAGGTCTGACCAGCCCCATAGCTATTTGGACCGCGCAGTGAATACTGCCCCTGCCACCGCGATGCAATACCTCACATCGTCGCCTACTCCTCCTTCTCAACTTCTTTTATCTCAGCTATCGCATCCTACACAGTCGCTTCTACGCCTCCTATCGTCTTGTTCTGTTCAATTTGACACTCAGCTGGCTGAGTTACCATCTTCCAAGCAAGCTCTGCAAGCATTCCGCAAACCCCGACCAACCCGCTTGATCACAAAGCATTCGACTTCCGCTGGTAGGAATCGACTGCGCAACCGCCCTCGACACTCTAAACTATCCAGGCCTTTCCAGTACATACTCAAGTAAGCTTCCCATCCCTGCCGACACCTTCTTGCCAGCGCTGTGGGCTTGCTGGCGACTATTTTCGCGCCAAGCCTTCAGGCCGTGATGAATGCTTCTCGTCAGCACAATCATTCTGGACCAACTTCAATCATCTCAAAGAGCATCATACTGACCGTTTCACAGCATAATGGCTAAGCGTAACGTTCGCAAGCCCACCGAAGCCTTCCATATGACTACCCGCAAGCGCTCCAGAGCCGGCAACGAAACTTCTCAGGCCTCAACTGCTTCTGAATCGGCCAGCGATTACCAAATCTCAACTGGTAAGTCTAGAGATTTGACAACATCATAGCTAGTGAGTCACCCTACTAACTAACAATCTCTGCGCAGCTCCTTCGTCACTGTCTTCAGCCGCTCTGCAAGAGTCAAATTCTCAGAGCAACAGTGAGCCCATTCAACCAGAGCCGTCTGCGAAGCAGCAGACCAGCTCGCTTTTGTCTTCAAAGGTGCTTCCAGGCTCGTCTTTGACCGTATTGAAGGCTGTCCCACCACCAAATGCATCTACAAAGCGTCGAACTCGCTCTTCAGCCATTCCAGCTTCAGAGGACAACTTCTTGCAACGTCTCGAGAACGTCGAGCAAGCTAAAGTGGACAGTAACACACAAGGTATCTCTTCAGAGAAGCCATCACTGAGAGAACAGACTCCAGAAGCTCCGCAAGACGATGTGCAGGACCGCCCAGCCAAGAAAAGATGCACTCGATCGTCCACCGTCCCAGCTCTGCAGCAGTCTGATTCTACGAATACAGCTTCTACTAACCAGCTTGAAAAGACTTCTACGAAGCCATCAGAGTCTTCCCAAGAGCCTCGTATCTCAGAACCGTTCGACACCAGTTCTGCTGAGCCGTTCGAAAGGCAATTGAATCCTGCTATGCAAAACAATCCCGCCAGCGATGTGCCAGAGTCGACCTCAGAAGGCTTACCTCAGGCTTCCAACTTGGCTTCATCCAAGTCTACGATTGAAGAGCTGGCTGATACTGTGCCTGTCGAGACAACTGCAAGAAGGATGACTCGCGCTGCCAAGCTAGCCATGCAGGATCCTTCCATCAGCAAGCAGCCAGCTTGGGCTCCTAAGAAAAGATGTCTCCTCCCCACTGTTACCGATGATCCGAACCGACTTCTCAAGAAGCAGAAGACCAGCCCTTCAGAAGCCGAAACACAGGATAGCGATCAGAAGTCCGAAACGCTTCTCGAACCCATGTCGCCCGACGGTCCTTGGCGAATCAATAAGCTCAGAGGTTATGCCGATCGTCGGTATTGGCCAAATCTCTACAGGCCAAATCCTAGGACTGGAAAAGTGAGCGGCAACATGAAGCCGGCCATTTACTACGCAGCCGATGGTGAGACCAGATGGAACAGAAGAGATGAAGATGCTCGCGAGCGAGAGCGAGGGCGTGAACGCGAACGAGAACGTGAACGCGATCGTTCGAACAACTCTGGTCGAGGCCGCGGCCGAGGCCGAGGAAGAGGACGTGGAGGTCGAGGTCGAGGTGGTGGCCCCGGTCGTGGTGCTCCTGGCAGGCGTCCTGGTGACGATTCTCCAGAACCTCCACGCCATCGAAACCTCACTCCTGACCAAGAGGACAGCGTCAAGAAGCTAAAGGCTCGACAAGCCGAACTCAAACGCTTCTTTCACATTGTTGGCTCTCAGCAAGCCGAGATCCTCGATCAGATGGCCATGCGTGATCTACAGAAGCTCATGAAAAAGCCAAAGGCTCACAAATCCGTGCCTGAATTCGATGCTTTGACCGAAGAGCTTCGAGCCAAGATGGACGCCACAGAGCAACAGATCCGCGACGACTACAAAATCAAAGCCCAATACGAAAAGGACATATTTGAGAAGAGAAAAGAGGTTCAGGAGATGCAATTCCAGCAGCTCTACAGAAACCTTCGAACTGAGCACTTGCAAGGCGCACAAGGCGACATTGCATTGCTGAAGAAAGCCTACGCCAATTCCGCGGATGATACGCGTACCGAGTCCGGTTCCGAGCTCGACTTCTTTCCACGCTATCATGAGATGCCGGAAGCCAATGTTCGTGTTCGTGGCTACAGTTCCCTCATTGACGATGAAAAGCCATTCCGAGAGGGTCTTGAGTCGTATGATGTGCAAGATGTCATCGATGAGGAGATCACAGGTCCCATGCGGCGCGCGCTTGATGAGGAGAACCGTAAGCAGCGTGAAGAAATTGAGGCGAAGTTTGTCAACGACCACAAAGGCTTGAAAGAGCTTTCCGATGAATGCATCAAGCAGCTCGAAGAGATCCAAGGCTACCTCATTCCCCGGCCACTCGAGGCCAAGGAATTCAGTGCATATGCTCTCTCCGCACTTGCCGACGTCGCCGACTACGTTGCACAGCAGCATCCTCACAAAATGTATCAGTACATGCCACTGGCTCCGGGAGATACTTTCCCTCGACAGGCTCTGGAATTCGGTCCTTTGCCAGGTCCTGGTCGTCGTTTGGCTCCTGCACTTGGTCAACCACCCCCACCTCCACCGGTTCCACCTCAACCTGTATCAACTCCCCCGCGGCTGTCCCGGCGCAGAAGGAGGTCTCCTCCAGCAGCTTCACCTCTACGTCCGCAGTTGAACCTTCAGACGTCTGTCAATGGAGCAAATCACTCGTCGCAACCGTCATCGTTACCAACAACGCCTGCGTCAATTCTGCCAGCCCCTATTGTGTCTTCTGGTCCAGGCCAGCCCATTGCGCCTGCACCTCCACGTGCAGCAGCCACTGCGGCTCCAGCACAGCCAGCCACATTCCGTCACTCGTCGTATTCCATTCCACCTTTGGGGCCTCACACGGCACCGAGCCCGTCACCACGCTCCGCTGGTCCAACCGCTCAATACATCTTCCAGCCACCACAGCAGGCACAACCCCAACCCGCTGCTTCTAGCGGCTGGGGTCCGCCCGGCCCTCGCCCTCCTGCATCTGCAGGCTCGCCCGGTCCCGGCACAACGACGAGCTTCCCTGTGCATGGCCCCTATTCTACTGGTCCATCGCCGACCACCTTCAGCGGCTTTGCTGGCACTCAGCCCAGCACCCCTGCCGGCGGTGTGGCGCTCGGTAGCCACCATCAAGGCAAGATCCCGGTGCAGTTCATCAACAACACACCAGCTAGTACCAAGGAGAAGGCAGCGAGGAAGGCGGAGAGGAGAAGAATGGAGGAGGAGGAGAGAGATAGACGTGGTCGCGAGAGGGAGCGCGATGATAGAGATAGGCAGGGCAGCGGCCAGAGTGAGGTCGGCGGGCAGAGGGTGTTGTTGCCAAAGCCATGATGGCCTCGAGAGGGATTTTGAAGATGAAGTTGCGGAAGAGACGAAAGGACTATTGTTAACAGTATAGAGTTGCGTGCAGTAGTGCGCGTCCGAGGTGCTGGCTGCCTTGTATAGAGTGAGTGGTTCAATAAAAAGTACATTCAAGTATACCTCAGTCCCAGCTTCGAGACGACTTGAATCGTAGATCAGTCGCCGCCAACTTTGCTCTGGTATCTCTCTGGCTTTCACCTGGTTTGTAGGTAGCTTCACTCACATCTGTGGTCGTCAATTGGGTGATGCTTGAAGCATATCATCGGTGTCCGCCAAGCCCGCAGCCTCGTGATGTGCATGTGCAGCCTCGTCTACCCCAGACTCCTTCGCCGCTCCAAGTGCATGTGCTCTTCCTGTCCCTTAAGCACCATGACGGCCGCAACTCTAGACGCCCTAGACGCCGACGATTACGACCCAATAACACATCTCAACGTCATTTTCTCGCACCCAAGCACCCTCGCCTCCGTCTCCCACACCCAGACCCTTCTTACTACCTACCAAGATGACCTCGACGATGAGATCGACCTCTTGGAGGAAGAGCAAGCCCGCTCCCACGCGGATTGCCTCGCGCGCATGCAGTCCTCCAAGTCCGAGCTGGCTGAGCTCTTCACGCGCATCGAATCCGTGCGCGAGCGCGCCCTACAGACGGAGAAGAACATAACGGCCATGACGGCGGACATCAAGGCGCTGGACAACACCAAGAAGAACCTGACGCTGTCAATGACGGCGCTCAAGCGCCTGCAAATGCTCACGACGGCGTACGAGCAGCTGCGCTCGCTGGTCAAGACGCGCCAGTACCGCGAGTGCGCGCAGCTGCTGCAGGCCGTCATGCAGCTGATGCAGCACTTCAAGTCGTACCGCTCTATCGACCAGATCGCCTCGCTGTCGAGGAATGTGGCGGACTTGCAGCGCGAGGTGCTGGAGCAGGTGTGTGAGGATTTCGAGCTGACGTTCAGCAAGCATGAGGTGCCGCAGAAGAGAGGGATGCTGCATGAGGCGTGCTTGGTCGTGGATGCATTGGGGGATGCGGCGCGCTCGAGGCTCGTGACCTGGTATACCAACACGGAGTTGCGGCAGTATCGGCAGATCTTCAAGGGCGAGCAAGAGGCTGGCAGCTTGGATAACATTGACAGAAGGTACAAGTGGTTCAAGAAGACGCTGAAGGGGTACGACGAGGAACATGCTGCTATTTTCCCGGCGCATTGGCATGTGGGTGAGCACCTAGCCAATGTGTTTGCCGAGGGCACGAGGGAGGACTATAAAGGCATCCTAGGTCGGTCGACGAGGGCCGGTCAGACATTGGACGTCAGGCTGCTGCTGAGCTGTTTGCAGCAGACTCTGGAGTTCGAGCAGGGACTGGAGCGGAGATTCAGCGGCGGAAGCCGGGCAAGCATCGACACGACAGTCAGCGAGCGGGAAGCGCAGGTCTTCGGGCAGCCCATTTCAACCGCCTTTGAGCCGTACCTCAGCCTATGGGTTGACGCGCAGGATAAAGATCTTGCCGCGCTCGTTCCACAATACAGATCACGCCCACCCAAACCTCCCGACGAAGAGTTCAGCAGCCAGACGGTCATCAGCTCGGCCTCTGAGCTGTTCAACTTCTACCGTCTCTCGCTCGCGCAATGCGCCAAACTCTCCACGGGACAGGCGCTGCTGGATCTGTCCCGCGTCTTTGGCAAATATCTCGACATGTACGCGCAACAGGTCCTGCTGGCCTACTTGACGGAGAAACCCAGCACCGGCACGCCATCTCGCCGGCCCAGTCTGGAAGATACCATCTTGGTGCTCAACACGGCCGACTACTGTTACAGCACGACGACGTCGCTCTCCGAAAAGATCGCATCGCGCATCGACGAAGCGCTCAGGCCCTCTGTGGACCTAACGCCACAAGCCGACGCCTTCATGGGCCTGGCCTCCGCCTCGATCCGCTCCCTCATCACCCACCTCTCCAGCGCACTCAGCCCCCACTTCAGCACCATGCGCTCCACGCCGTACTCGCGCATCGAAACCGCCTCCGACACCTCCCCCTTCATGCCCGCCCTCACACACACCCTCACGACAACCGCCCACCAAATCCTCGACTACCTCCAGCCCCTAAAACCGCACTACACGCGCGCCTTCACCGACGCGCTTCCTAGCTCTATCGCCGACATCTACCTCTCCTCCCTCCCCTCCTGCCGGCCCATCTCCGAAGGCGGCGCCGAACAAATGCTCCTCGACCTCCACGCCCTCCGCACCACTTTGAGTCCTTTACTCTCCGACCCCCCACCCCCCTCGTACGCCAAACGCCTCAGCACCGCCTTCTCCCGCATCGAACCCCTCCTCAAAACCCTGCAGGTCCGCCCTTCGCCGCCCGAAGCCCTCGTGCAGGCCTACCTCGTCCACATCGCCGACCTGAGCGAAGCCAATTTCCGCAAGGTCCTGGAATTGAAGGGGATAGGGGGCGGCGGCGGCACGGTTGGGGCACGTCGGAGTCATCAGGAGACGGTGCAGCTCGTCGAGCTCTTCAACATGCATAAACTGAGTCCGCGCTACAAGGACGCGCTCGTGGAGCGCAGCGCGCTGCTCACGCCGCTGAACTTGAATGCTTCTGCTACGGCTTCCTTTGGTGGTGGTGGTGGTATTGGTGGTGGTAGCACTGGCGCGGCAGCGAACGTGGGAAACGCCGCGCTCGGCAACCTCACGGCCCTGGGCAGCAGCGCGGCGCAGAGCCTCAGTGGTGCGCATTTACCGGGGAGTGTTAATATGAAGATGAACATGAATTTTGACGCGTCTGGCCTGGCGAGTGGGTTGATGGATCGCTTTGGTGGTGGTGGTGGTGGCGGTGGCGGTGGAAGTGGTGGTGGTCTGTCGCCGGGCTTGGGAGGCACGCCGGGCGCGGCGAGCCCGTCGGCGCATGGTTATGGCGGGGGAGGCACGAATGGGAATGCAGGTGCAGGTGCAGGTGGCGGTGGCGTTGGAGGTGTGAATCCAATGGAGGCGGCGGGCCTAGGCGTTGGTGTGAATATCAATCATATGGCTCAAGGACAGGTCCCGGGAGCGGCGGCACAGGGCCAAGGAGGAGAAGGCAAGTTGAACGAGAATCTCAAGAATATCGGCAAGTTCTTCAAGCGCGATTTGGGCGCGTTGGGCTTGCCGGGTGGGTTGGGGGGGTTGGGGGGCAGGTTTGGAAGTGTGAGTCCCGCACCGCCGGCGGCGGGGGAGGAGGGGAGGCGGTGAGCGGGGGTTAGGGGAGTTAGAGGG